CAATGTGCAATAGCCTCCTCTTCTTTTTTATGATTAGTTGGGTCGTTAATTTTTATTGTTATTTACCTCTGCAATAAATGTTGCTCTCTACGCCTCCATAGTCTAGACAAAAATGCAGTTTAGTCAAGTAGACAAAGAACGAGAAATGCGGAATGATTCATAGCACCAGGTTTTTATTGCAATTTATTAGGCTTTTTATGAAGATATTTTTCAGAAGGTAAGTATTACGTATAACGTCACATCGTCATTTTGCACTCCCGAAATTACAGTTTACGCCACTCTGTACAATTGTTAATTGAACCCAAAATGTATATTCAATGACTCAGTTTACACAGATAATTAAAAGTTAAATAGCCGTAATTCAAGTATCTCTCCCCCATTTTTAAATTGACAATATTTATTATGCCGGAAATGTTTTGTTCCGCCATTATCCAGGTTAATAGTAACAAACTGCTCCATTATTATCAATTCTGACATCATTTATGAGCGGCATGTTTTGTAAGCGGCGCTGCTTACGTAGGAGTATTCTATCTAATACAAAACTAAATAATGTACTCCACCTCCACCTGGCACTATACGTAAAAGGGTATTTTAATAAAAAAAAATTTTCCCAGCAGGATTGTCGATCGGTTCGTTCACTGAGATGCTTTGAATGCCCGATAGGGCTACCTACCAACTTTCTGTCGTCGTTATTTTATAACATTAGAGATTTTCAGAAATAGTAGTTCTATTGGTGTATAACAGGGCAGGTGGTTACTACCTGGTGAACAAAAACATGTCTGGCCTCCAAATTTACCCGAATTGCGAGCGAGACTCAAGCGGTCTCCAACTGTTACCAGCGCGATTACTGTAAGTGAATTGCCTACAAGTGACGCAAACTGTATATTCCCATTGACATTATAATACTTTCAGCTTAATGTTAACGAACTCTGGAGGAAATATTAATGTAACTAGTTTTCAATTTTAAAAGGGTCAACTTCCACAAAAAAAAATTCGTGGCTTTTAGTCTATTTTGGCCATGACAGGAACATAATCTAAGGGATTAGTTTTAGTGCCTTTTGAATAAGTAATCTCTTCTTGACATTTAAATGAGATGCGACAAAAGATTCAATATTTTAAGTGATTTATTAGGGGTTATTTTTTTAAACTGTTTCTTTGTTTCATTTTTTCGAAATGATACGGGAATAAGCCGATGGGCAATTGTGATCTATTTTTAGAAGTTTGTGTGGTAAATACGTACTGAAATCAATAGACTGTATAATAATTCATGTTTAGCCATTATTAAAACTGTTTTAAAACGTCGTGCAAATCTTTGACAATTATTCCAAGTGAACGGCTGTTTGAAATTCAATCATGCAGATGTTTTTACTTTATTTTTATTTTCATAACAAATATGTACGCTATGCTATACGGCCGCTAGTGTATGTACGTGGTTTTTGTATTAACAATGTACCTAGGTATGTCGTAGTCTTTTAGTCAATCAAATCCTTCATTTCACGAAACGCCTAGGTATATTTATATAAATCTGTGCCACAGTGTACCTACTTTTTAGGGTCAAACGATTGGATTCCCTTCCCCTTCGAGATCGATAAATGGTATCCCTTATCGATCTATAGGAGAGGAAGGGAATATATATACTATCATGTTTTAACTAATTTTTTAACGATTCATTTATATATTTGAATCAACGACGAGGATCAACGACAAAAAAGTGTGGGATTGAATTTCAATGCTAATGTCCTACAAAATCTTCAAATTTGCGAAATATTCATAATTTATAACTGCTCGTGTAAATCACTATACAATACTCTTATTAGGCCATGATACAAGACATGCCTATTCATTTTTTTTCCTGTGCCGCACTAACTTCTATAAAACCTTTCGTGATATCAAATCAAATTCTACATTATTTCTCTTCGGATTATGACTGAGTTAAGTTTTTCTTTGCTTTCGCGGCTCGTTTTATCACGCATAGTGCAATTACTCATCAAACGGCATACCTAATTAACTTATATAAATTCCAGTAGGTACCTACAGTTAGTTTTCTTAATTGAATGTTGAAACAGAATACTAACCGTTTTCCAATGATTCTTAATTGTGAGTCATAAAATAGACGAATCTAAGTATACCACATTAAGTTTTTCCCAATTCTCACAATTTCTTCGAACCCGTGATTCACGAAAATATACTGTTAGTTTACTTACAGTGCGAGTAGAAATGAAAGGTAGATAGAACAATAAACGTCACGAAAATGGCACTTATCCTGAATTAGTACGGATTTAGGATAAATTTCAGCCTTGGCGGCAGTCAAGGTGAATGGGCAGACGGGATTTACTAAAGAGAAGTCGACGAACTGTACGGTCGTCATGCACTGAATCCCTGTTTTAATCACGGCACAATCAGTTACTTAGAGTTAGAGAGAGGTTCGTATCCTACAAAAGGTTACATTGAAAATTATTGCTAATTAATACGTATCTATCTCTGCAACGAAAATGATTTGTATATGAAAATTTGTGCATTTCATTTCCGGAATACGTCAGTACGTTCAGTTAAAATCGTAATTACCTATTCCTAGAATTAAAATAATCGTCGTGAATTCTGATAGATTAAAAACCGATAATGATCTCGTAGTATCACGACGTACATAACTTTGAAAATCGTGTTATTTATTATGTATTACAATCGTTCTTTATTGAAATCTTTTTATGAAAATTGGAACACTGGGGCTAGCGGGCGGAGATACTTTGTCAATTGTCATAAGTACTACAAATTTCAAAGCAATCGTATGGCACAAATAGTTTGAGGAGCGGACACATTGTATGTTGTACGACATAGATACAGAGGGTCTCCCAAGGTTCCAACGAAAGTCTACATTTGTTTAAAAAAATTACGCTGGAAACGCACCGGACGTAACATTTTGTTTCGCAATGTTGCGAGACATTTTGTTACGCACAAAACGTTGCATGGAAAAAAGTCGACCGTTCTCCCAGCAACATATTTTTGTTGATCACATATTAAGCCAAGACGACGAACTGAATTGATAGCTACTTATAATAATAGACCCATCAGAGAGATTTTTCGTTCAACATTTGCACGATCCTATTCCCAAGGGTTGTTTTGTTAATTCGAATTAAAAATTCTCGCACATCGCCCGTGATAGTATAAAGTATTACAAGCATGTTACGACTTACGCCGCTTACTATTTAGAAAGTTCACGTTTGCGAAACGAGCGAGCTTGCGAGCGAGTGGAGCAAGATTATTCCGTGTGAATAAGGGTTATTTATGGCTTTATGTTAATAGGTTATACGGTTATCATTTCCAATGTCTCCGATGGTTGCAAGGATTGCGAAATCTGTGAATTTTTTTGTTGTGTTGTCAAAATTTGAAAAATAGAACTGACCACTCAACAGACGTATGATATACGTTTATACCCTAGTCCAAACCTATGTAACTAGAAAATTGCGGTGACAGACGTTTACTATCATCGCAAAAATCTGGTCGTTATCTCTTGGCCTACAACAAAAGGCGAGTGAGGACAGCAAATAACTAGGTAATGAATAGTCAATCACATTGGTCAGGGCAGCAACCCCCGATCTTATTCTAGGCGAGAACCTCTTAAGACTTAAACCCTCAATCTATAACATTTGGCGAGCAAAAATTTGTCTGTCTACCTATCCGTCTGCGGGCTCGACAGGATCTTCTATAGGAAGGTTTGTGCACTTTAATAATTATGCATACTGCATAGAAAACTGACACGAGTGGGATGCGTTAGTAACACCCACAACCCACGTATGGGTTATCGCTATGCAGTTAATTGACTTTACATCTCCATGATGCCTAAATAATCAATAAAGAATTGTTATCACACCGTCTTAGCTGTTTCGTGTAAGTTCGCGTTTGGGGTTAATAGGAGTCTTTGTTTGGTAGCACGTGGAATAATGGTGCATCATCTTATGGTAATAGCGCTTTATCCTTGGTCAGTCCGACGGCCTCGTGTATTCGCGAAAAATGTAAGTGTATAAATAGCAACATGGGTGGAAGTCGGCAAGGTCGCATATATTCAATGTCAGCAGTGCGTGGATGCCTTTTCTCAGCGCATATAATAATGAATGTGCAACGCACACCGTTTCTTAGAATTGAGAATCTTCACTTAATTAAATTTACAGAAAATTCATTTTTCATATATTGCCGTGAGTGTGAGTGCCACCTATCGCGCACAGATTAAAGAGAATATTTCTCCGAATTGTAATCGGCGAAAATCGCATTCATTTGTTTCATATTTAAAAGTAGCCCTCGTTAAATGCAACAAAGAGCTATAAAGAACGCAACCAAGTTCAAAGTATTTTTATGGAGAAATACGAAAAGTAGCTTACCCTTGTCACCTTTTGCATGTCAAATGTGTGATAAGTTGACCATCATTTATACCACTTTGCACTTAATTTTGAAAGTCACGAATTAACACAACCTTCACAAACCTCAAACTTCCTTGTTGGAAATAGGACGTGATCTGCAAGTAAGAGAACGGGGAATGGATAAACATATAATTACATTCGAATGACTATACAATGTGCATATAAAAATGATAAAATATTGATTATAAAAAAAGAGAAATTAATTAATTAAACAATATTAATATTAGACGGATTACAAATTTTTTTCCAAAATAGAGCCCTTTTTGTTATTTTGATATTAATTTCTTAAAATCCGCCGACGAATTTTATTTTTGGATAAAGTGACCATATTTAAATGATTCTTCAATGCGGGACACTTTTCTTCAACGAGTCGCTTCTTTTTTTCTAAATTGGTAAAAAAATACTCCACCACCGGAACCACCCGTTTTACTGCTTTCGTTGGCGCCTGCCTGCGTGTGAGTGCTTGGTAGTTGCCCGCGCGCGTCAGGCGCTTAGACATAATGGCGGACAGTACTCTTTTACTGTGGAATCTCTGATAGGAATTATTTCTCACCTAGCTAGTACCTACACGTAGGATATAAAAAATGATTGAGATCCCATAGAAATCCACTAAAAAAATGTTGGGTGCCGGATTACCGAGCGCCTACTACACTTATTTCCGAACTACAGAAAGTAACATAAATAAAAATGTCCGCTATATCTCAACAAAATTTTGCCAACGGAAATTCCACAAGGCAACGTCTCTAAAGAATTGTTCTAAGAATTACCCACGTAAAAAACTGTAGCTTAATGTCAGCTGAATAAAGTTATACACCATGTATTACTAAACAGAATTTTAACTCGTCCATCCAAAGCTTACACAAGTTGTTGCATTTTTTTTTCATTGAAACAGGAATGTGTATAGGATTCTCAACGAACGGAAATACCATCAAACCGCAGATATGTTTCAGAGTTCCGGTGCAAAGTAGAAAAGTTAAACGGTTTTTAGTATATCAATGGAATTTCCGGTTGCCACTTAATAGAGGTAGGTGATATTTTATCTTATCATTTTATTGTTATTATTGCATGATGTCATGCCAATTGGATGTGTAATCATGCAATGACGTAGCCAATTTTTAATAGTATGTTACGTATTACATTTCATTACGTAATTCTTAAAAAAACTGATAATTATACAGCAGGTGGGCTTAGAGAACCCACCTGCACAATGAAAGTCAGTTTTTAAACCACTGCTACTCTGTTCTTTTCAGTTTCTCTATTCCTTTATTAGCCTTACGTAATCAACGGCCGTTTCCTACTAATACACTTCCTTTCAGAAAAATAAAAAAAAATTAACGTAATTATCTACCGAAGACTTTAGTCATTTTTAGTCGCTTAATCCCATCTTTTCCAACGCTCTGTATATTCCATCTCTGATGTTAATTTTAGTATTGGCATATTAAAATCTATACGGGAACGCAAATACATAGATACCTACCTACCGGTATTGGATTCGAAACTGGCAGTCTCGAGTTCTTCAACACAAAAAAGGATGTTGATGATTCTTTACATTATGGTGGCTCATTATTGAAAATTGATTTATTTTTTGTGATCTGTGTGCCACTTACACGAAAGCAGGAACTTCCTTATTATTATTTTTTTATTGTAGCTTTCTATAATTGCGCATTCAAAAGTAACAAGAATATACAGGATGTTCTATTGAAAAAAAATTGTTGCAATTTCCGAATAAACCGCAGGTAATAATAAAAAAACATCATAGTACCATGGATATTACTTTGTTCTTTACAGTATTGTATATGCAAGCCATTCGACAACTGTCGGGAAATCCTGTCGGTTGAGATTCCTAGTTCATTGGCGTAACTTAAATCTGTGATGAATGGCATGAACATACTACAAGTTATGTTGTAGGTTGTAGTATCATGGATGAATGGGATGCGTGTTTGCTATCAACAACTTTAAGTTTCCAAAAGATCCACGGCGCTTAGTTTTTGCCGAAGAAAAATGAGAAATAAACATTCTTTCGAAGACGAGCATCCTTCCCAAAAAAATTGCATTGTCTATTTTTTTTTTAATCTTTTGTAGGTATATGTACAAACACCTAGTTTAAAGAAAATTTTCGTAACATTTCTCATTTTCTATTTTCGATTCTTTAAACTCGATAAACATCTTTTATTGTAACAAATAATTAGCATGTACATTTTTTGGGAAAGAAAATTAAGGGCGCATTTAACCGCAACGTTTGAGCAGACCGGCACTTCGAATTTGAAAATATAAAACATTAAACTTTTGTGAAAAAGATAAATTATAAATCATATCGGTCTAGCTAGACAGTGATGCCAAAATAAGGTACGATTTATAGGAACTGTTCTGTACTTGAGAAGGTCGGATACCAGCATTCCATACATTATGTACCTAACTATAACTATAGAATTAAACAATTTTCGATAGTCGTGACCTTCGAATGTAGTATCTAATCCAATGCCAAATTGGGAAAAGAAAATGAGTATAAAATGAATTAATTACAAATTATTCGATGCGAACCTAAATATCTATCTATTTTTATAAAATGCATGAACGTATGCGCCACGTCTTAATTTCTTTACACCGTAAACAAACTATTTCTTCTTACTTTATCTAAAAGGAGTGCACTTTGTAAACAGATCAAAATAGTAACCGAAAAAAAATCGTGCAGAATTGCGACAATTTTCCTACTACATTGCTCTAATATAATGAATTGGAAGAAGCGCCGTAATTTATATTGACTTATTTAAACAATAGACAACGGTAACAACTAAATCTAATTAACAAAAGTGTAGCGAATTTTCCAACGAAGTTGGGTGCGTTTATTGCATCCACTTTTTCTGTCCGTCCGTTCAAGGCCTTAACTACTCCTACAGTGTTCAATATACTTATTTAGTTCGTTCTTTTTGAAATCGGTGGCTTATAGTCAAGAAAAATTTTGACGATTCAATATCAACTTATTTATTAATATATGTATTTTGTTGAAATTTTAACCACATATACATCTAGTAAAGGCAAACATATTGCATATCATATAACATAAATTAAATGTGGGCATGCGCGAACATAGCTATAGCCTTTTGGGAAGGACTGATCAATGTATGGAATGTATATAATGCGCCTCAATCGTGCATTTGTGCTCACAGTTTGTGCCTTATTGCTTTTAAAAATATTTCTGAAATTGGGGGCTAAGTGAACGCATGCATCCCTCCCTCCCTCCCACCAATTAACGTTTTTTATACTGAAACGACGGTATTGCATAGTCGTTCCTTAACCCACATGAATGTTCAATCCTTAATAAATACTAGAGACAGCAACTTACTTATTTCCTTCACATCGAATTATGAAGAAGGGAGGGCGGGGGATTAGATATTTTAATATCTTGGAATATACTACATTAGCGCACTACATGGAGTAGTAAGCCCATATTACTTATATCGTATTTTTGTATACCACCTTGCTTACAGCTACAGAGGGGGACTCTAAATTCGTCACTTTATCTGAATATGTATCGATATTTCCGTCAGCAACAAATTAAAGCAAGAAAATTTCGGCGGTCATAAATGTTTAATAATTACATCAAGTAAAAAAGAACAAGAGTATTAAAATTGCTACAATGCAGTAGTTTAACCATTGATCCAAAACTACCCGCACTGCATTGCCTTGATAAAACCCTACCAAGCAAGATTAAAATTATTTACAATAAATATTAATACATACAGCAACAAATACAATTAATTCTATACAGGCACAGGTTGTGGGGGAACAAACGGTTTCCATCTCAAACACGAGGGGTCGACTTCTTTTAGTAGCGAACCTCTTCGCTTAACTCGTTCGACGTATTCATCGAGGACATCCTGTTTCTTTAGAATAATGTGTTTACCCTTCCAGTACTTCATCATACCCAAAGCTTGAAGAGTCGAGACAATGTCGTAGGAGTGAATTGCCATTTCTTGACTGATATCTTTAACGGAGAGGGTGGTACCTGCCCGAGAGCACAAGTATCCTAAAAGTACATCTTTCCAATACGATCGGTACGATATTAATCCCAAGTCGCTTAGGGGCTTTTCGGGTGACCCGATTTTACCTTCGACTCTTGTTAGTAGATAACCTGTAAAAAAGGAAAAACTCATTCATAAAATGCGCATCTGGTAATTATTTCGCTTAATCCTTTCTCTCTCTCTCAATTCGCGAATTTACGGGAGCGTCGCGAGGAGGTGAGGTGGTAAAAGATAGGGGAAGAGGCATGTTGACCTCGGCGGTCGATAGTAACGTCTGGCGCCGGTATGTGGCTCGTATACGCGTCGCGGTGGCGTCAATGAGTGACGTAAAAATCGACGCCACGCCCTGATATCATCGAATATGCATTTCGGATAGCTTAGACAAAGTCCTGTCAATTAAACTAAAACTATACAGAAAGGTGGTATTGTACCTTTGAAAACGCAAACTTCTCCCTTTTTCCCCTACATGGGATGGGAGGTGCAAGTCTCTCCTTAATATCCATTAATTAATTATAGCGAGGTGAAAATTCGTTTCAAATTTAGTAATTGTACAACTAAATAAACCTTAATGTTACAATTTCAGGTTCGCGTGTATAAAATGGGTGGTAACGGAAAGACTGAATGAAAAATGTAACTAACCCCTTTCTCAGAAGTAGTCGAAATTGAAACTATTAATTAATTATACATCAAAGTTTACTACACAATCAAATATTAATATTTTTTGTAACCGACAGTGGCTGGTTTTTTTGTGTGTTTTGTCTAAATCGATTTCGTTAATCGCTGACTGCAATTGTCAAAATCACAGTCTAGATCATGTCTAGATACGAAGTGTGTTCAAAATGGTCGAAAACGCCAATTACACAGCAGGCCGCAGTGTGAGGGACGAGATCTCGCTACTGGAAAGTCGCAGAAATCAGGTTGAATAAACCAATACAACGAAATATCGGAGGATCCTCGGTATTACAATCACTTTTAATCTCGCTTTTAACGATAATTTATTTTAATCTTACAATTGAAAATTTTCTTTCTCTCTTAAATCTTTAAACCTTTTTTAAATGTTCGGAATATTTTATATAATAAGTATTTAAATAAAATCAATTGATACTAAAAAAATACACCAAATTCATGTCTTAGGCATTGAGAATGCTCTTGGTCTTTTTCCCAACGTTCTTGGTGCATAAATAACGATTTTGGCATGTTTTGATCAACATTCATGTGGTCGCCAAAAATCGATCATATTCATGTTTTGGTCATTGAGATGCTCTTGGCCTTTTTCCCAACTATCTTGGTGCATAAATAACAATTTTGACATATTTTGATCAAGATCCAACTCCAACTCATAAATATCTCTGTCAAGTTCGTGAATCAGCCAATTACGCCACATTGGAACAGCATGCCGGCACTTTTATCGAAATCTATACCTACGCCTGATCGGCCTAGCCGAAAGGAATTCTTAAAAAACATTTTGAACATGAACGATAAATGGCAACTGCTTTTTGGGTTTTCCTCGCTACGGTTAATTAAGAGCCTCATATAAATCGCCAATGTCCCATGAATCCGTATCAAATTTCAGTGTGCCGTTAATTAAACTTACTTATGACGTATTCAAAATTTTATTCGTAAAATTTAATTTTGTTGTTGCTACAATACATCAACAACTCACGTGTGCGAGTCTCTATCATTTCGTCCTGAAGGATTCGCAACTTCCGCCTCACGGCTAGGTTCCATAGCATGTTCCCTCACAGTCCAAAGGAAAGAGTAAAATTCCGTCACCCAATTGTACAAAAATTACACAATAAAAGGGCATGTTTGATTTAACTTGGTTGGGGAAAGTAAGATTTACAGTGCTTCTGACACTTCTTTCCATGGCGCCCCCTTTCTGAAAACTAAAATTGCTCACGTCCCCCTCCCTGGATTGAAAAATAAAAACTGCTTTTACTACAAAAAATATATTTATTAAAACAATTATTATAATTAATTATTGAGTTTTTTTTTTCATTTTTACTATAGGAACTAAATCATAAGAGATACAAAGCCCCTTAAATGGGGAAAGTTATGTAGAATTTCATGGTGATTAATTTTCCCTTTCAAAGTGTTTTGTAGGTCTACAAATAGTGAAGTTATGGCCGAAAAACCGAAAAATGTCATTTTCGAGAATGCGCTGGCGTTGGATTATCAAAAAATAATTTGAACAAACCCTTAGTGATTTTTTCTTAGCTTTCTAATACGATAAACTAAAATTTTTATGATCTATAAAATATTATGTTTTTCAATCAACTTGGATATTGCAGCCATAACTTCAATGGCTTTTGAGGTCGTTTTTAGTTCATTCGAGAAAATGATCTCTTCCTTATAGCACCATCATAAATCTCACATACACTATATCAGCTGGCAACATTGTGAACATCGGCGCTTTCATCACACTGAATTGCATTAAAATGCGAATTGTAGATACCTCCTTATTTGTGTTTGAATTATTCAAATATAATTTTACATAAAATTCGAGATAACATTAATATATGTATTTCAAAGGTAAATATTTACTTCAAACATTTCAGAGATCTCGCCCCCTCCCTTAACAGCGCTTTGCGCCCCCTCAACGAGCTGCGTCCCCCAGTTTGGAATGCACTGATCAACAGCGTCTCACGAAAAGACCTCGGAATATTTTCAAAATTTCTTCGGGTTATGTCGGAAGTTGATGGCAATGGAACACCCTATAGGTTGTATCTTTTTTAGATTCTACGTAAAATTCTATATAAATTTTAGGCGTAATGTCCTATACCTAAAATTAGACGTTTTTGACATCTTTTAATTATTATGTAAAAACTGACATTTGCAGCTTAAACCATAATTGCAAAGTTTTTCTGTATAAGAGCTGTTATTATTTAATTGAGGCTGCTTTCCTTTTAGAAGAGGTTCTCCCTTAGTTGACTGTGTTGATATTAAAAATTGAATTGGAAAAAAAAATTAAAATAATATCTTTGCAACCCGTTTGCCCTTTTGCCAATAGAATGCAACTTCTATCCCCACACGTGCGCAACTGGTTTTAGACTACATATAAGTCTTGTCATCCAATCAGAAATCGAACAACTTGAACCTAAGCCTATAATGATGCAAGCTTGCAACTGAAACCGTTTCGCCACGGGTAAGAACGATTGCGCCCAACCACTCAACCAGTTGGACACTAATTGCAAATGGTGTACATGGGGTCATCAATCCGTTGTGTGCTCGACTAAATTGCAATTCCGCACTCAAACTTGTACACAATTACAATTAAATCGTTTTTATTGCCTACTTAAAATAAACTTTGACGATGGCGATCACGAATGAACGCAGTAAGAAATTCTAATTCAATTAACTAAACCATCTTCTCCTAAGATTAAAATCGGTCTTTTTCAAGTTCGCTTCGATGTAAGCGGAAAGTGAAAATAAAAGCAATGAAATGGTATTATTCAAGCTTGGAAACGGCCCTTTTGCACCAGCCTAGCGCGGGGGCCCACCCCAGCTCGTCTCGCCGGGTCATAGTCCTCAGTTGCTCCTGCTGGTGCTGCTGCTGCGTATGGATCCGTCTGCTGCCTGACCTACCGTAACTACTGGGGTGAACATCCCTTTCAAAATTACCCCACTATGCCACCTGTAAACACTGCGTATACGCAACGGTGCAAATTAAATCTACCCTCTTCTGCCCCCCACACATATCCCTCAAAAACTTGTATCATGGACGCAATATGAATATGAATCAAACTGGCATTGAAAACTTCTCCGTAATACGTCTGGATTAACTGCGAAAGCCTCCTTACAAAATTCCCGCTCCCATACAAATACTACTGTCTTCGCAGGAAATACAAAAAGTTTAAAATTTTTGATTACTTGCGCTTTAGCCGCCATCAATTAAAAATAAAATATTACGTACATAATTAATTAAACTTTAAATGTTGATATTTGACGGTAATTCACCAGAACGCTTATTAATTTTAATGGCGGGTCCATCTCTTATCGACACGCACAATCTTTAACCTACGTTTTTCGTATTTCATATCCTCGTCTAACCCAAATTTGCTTTTGAAATGTAGGTACACATTCCACCTCTATCTATCCGCAAATTTAAAGAAATGTCAGTGACAGATAGAAATAACATTGATTTTTGAACCGAAAGAAATATTCTCAACTGTTTAAATATTTATGAACATAAACATAGCGTCAGGGAACCGAAATTTTTTATTATTGGTGCCTAGCCCGACACAGCATAGGGATTTCAATGGTAATTTGTTTATAGTCAATTATTCGCTCCCCTAATTATTTTAGAGCAAAAGTCTAAATATGTTTTTTTCAGAGGAAAAAATAATGCATCTGTTCATACTATTACCCATAATTTTCCGTTTTTCAAAACCGTACTTAAGTCGGCGGCGACCACACCTTATGGACGCACTTTATTGAAGGCCCAAATTTCCAAAAATGCCTCGAAAAATGCCGCAACACAAACTTGCCGCGAACTCGGCTTGTTGCTACGTAGGTATAACGAAACCTCTTCTAACTTCCAATGCTGGTTGGCTTCTACACAAAACAAACTACGGCGGTAACTCGCACGAAACAAAAAAATTTCTTCAATGTGAAGTAATAACGGCCCTGACTGGCAACAAAACTGACGATAAAACTTCAAGACTCCAAAACAAAACTTCAAACGTGGATCTGCTCTCAAACTCGCAATCAATACGCTGATTTCAAATTTTAAACAAACGTAGTTCCGCTCTGAACTTGGCAAAAAGCCCTTCCTCTTCTCAGTCCGTTCTATTTAAGGTGGAAACCCTTTTTCCAAAATTACAAATTATAACAACCAATGATAGGCAGTTGACAACAGAAAATTTCCCCCCTAACGTACGTTAAACTAGAGGTAGAAATTAATTTTATAATAAATTTTTAACCGACATTAAGAGATCACACAAAACTTAAAATACTAGGAAAAATAGAACTTTCTTTCTTTTAAATACAAAGAAAAGGCGATAAATAACATCCACCTGTCAATTAAATTAAACGTTTACATTGATAACAGGATAAAAGCGATATAAATTCTGGGAAATCTACGTTAAATAAAATTAAAAATTCGATTAAAAAAATGTAAATAAAAACAACCTTGACCCCTTTCTCGTATGACAATAATTTCTGTTTCAATAATTAACCAACGACACAAAACAAAATTTAAATTATGAACATTAATCACATGGAAATAGGAAACCGCCCTTTTCCATTCTAGTTATGAATCCCAAAATTTCGTGCTGCCAGACGAAATAGCAGCAATATGTAGTTAGGGGATTTCCGAGAGGATTTCACAAATAATTGTTCCATTCTAATGTGACCGTTTTTAATACAATCCAATTAATCGTCGAATATTTCTAGTGTATCAATACTAATATCAAAGGCTAATTAATAACAAATCAATTTTACTTACTGAAATCGATTAGCAGTCTACCGTATCCCTGGCGTTGGTACGGAGGCAAAGTTAAAATACACGAAACGTTGTAGTTGAGAAAAGAATTTTTTTCCTGGAACAAAGTGTATATTATTAATTATTATATATGTAATATGTCTAGAAATGTGCACAATTAAGTAAGCATACCTATACTTGGTTAAGAATTGAATATCTTTTGTAATTTATTGTTATCATTTTTTAATTTAATAAAATTTTCTGTAGTTTTTTTTTACTTACAAGGGCGATTAACATTCATTGTGCATGTAGGCAGTTAACATATCAAAAAACAATTGGTCCACGTTAGTGCAATTGAAAAAATTCGAATTTTTTGTTTACTTTTGTTATCTCTTGTTAATGAAAATCGTCACCGACACCAACGAAATATGTACTCAATTGTAAACTTCTGTTTTTAATTGATATATTTAACGTTCCTGACCCTTTTTTTGCACCCAAATCGAAATGATAGGAGTTGGGCATTTTGATCACAAAAAAAGATGACGTATAATATTTACTACTCTTGAAATATAAAATATTGTAAGGATGAATCTTTTGAGAGGAGTGATATTTTACCGTGTATTTTTATATTAAGTTATCTCTGTCACGCAACAATTAACATTTTAAGTACACCTGCCAATCAACATTCATGATTACTGCACAAGAGGTGCGATAAAGTTCTGCAACCATCACACAAGTATAAGTGTAAATGTATATTAACTTTAACCATTCTGTTTTGTGCAACTCAATAAATGGCTATTATTATTATCTCCCAGAGTCGATGCAACATTTAGACTTCTTTTAAATTATTCGTTCAGTAACTTAGAATGTTTAAATTTCAAATTTTAAGTTTTTTTGTTTAATATTTATATTGTAATTTGTGACGAATGCAAATAAAAGTTTCCTGTAAGCATACATATGTATTATTATTTATATATTATACCAACCGCATCAGCTCCTAGGGCTGTTAGCGGTTCAGGTAAGTATTTAATCATTACCTTTATTTGACTTAGGTAAGTGCATATCCATTTCTATCCTCTCGGCCTTTATATTTTACTGTAGATATTCACATCTTTAACAAACTGTAATAATAATAACAACATATTAACCAATGAATAAGAAATTTTATGTACGACTGCTTGATAATACGGTGATTACAGTCGCAATTAGTGGCCATAATTTGCAATATTATGGCCTAGTCCATAATGATAAAGTAAAACGGCCGCCTATCAATGTGACAAAAATAAATAAATAAATGTTGCTGAATCCCTAAACACGTGTCGTTTTATTGTCCCGTCCAGTATATATGGCGACGAAAATTCAGGAAAATACCTGGACTGTGAAAAAAGAAATGCATCCTCAAAGAGGCTTTTAAACAGCTTGGAAGCTTCGGATTGCGTCCACTAGATGATGCACGTGTAACAATCATAATTAATTAATTAATTCGAATTTGGCGGGCCGTATGAAGTATTAACTATGAATTATGTTAGCGGGCCGGACAGAACTTATCGGCGGCGGCGGGCCGGATCAGGCCGTTGCCCATGCCTGGTTTATAATTTTGTATTGCTGTCTGTGTCTGTCTATCCGTGTACTTTCTTTAGAAACGTTGGATCGCTTTGAAAATTGGTACACTGTTCTTTGAGGATATAAGAAAGGTCGCTATTGTTTTTCAGCTATCTGAGCTATCGGTTCAAAAAGTTCGATCTCGCGGCTTGTTCGGTATTCAGTTTTATCGATAAAAATTCCTTCCTTTGTTCCTGCGATAATAAGTTAAAATGGTTGACGTGTTCACAGAGATACATTAGCTAGGTACCCAAAGAAGCGAATTGGAATTTCTTCTAGCTTCTTAATTCAATGGATACTATACATTTTCTTTTTAAAATTTTAATGTCTTAACCTAAGTATACCTATTGGTTTTGAATAATTGAAATACTACGTAGCAGAAAGTAATCAGCCTTGCAGTGCGCTATTATAACCATTGTATAACAAAGGCATTCAACGTTATGATCACTACTTATTTCCTGCTGTTGCGGTTTTATTTACATTTGTAGTTCGGTTTATGGAAGAATATTTTAGGACTGATAGGATAGGACTGGTATAAAAATAAACAGTGCAGCCACACTGAAGCGACATACAATAATTAAAATTAAGTTATCATCGTTGGCAGCGAACAAAGAAGGTAAAAATTGGGCGACGTACTAATTATAGGAATGGCTCCAATAGTTTTATATGAATCATGAACGGGATATGACGCCGATTTACGTCACCATCTTTATCGAGGTTCTTAGAAAAGCCGCATGCACATCAAACGTATTAAAGAAAATAATAGGTACCGTTAAGAAGGAATGATTTATAGGTTCTATACTTCCTAGGTAAGGCAAAAATAAATAAAATACCTACTCTGCGAGGGGCAGATCTTTTTATAGATCGTCCCACTAAGAGAACAAACGATCAATTAAATTCACCTGCGGTCCAAGAAAAAAGAACTAAGAGGCAAGTCGAAGATAGCTTTTCCCCTCTTAAATTTAGGCCACAGTTAATTTGTAATGGTCGAATTTGCAAAAATTGCAACCCACATTTTGAACGGGGACGTTACAGTCAACTGGAAACGTCTTTCTCTAATTTAAAACAAATTAAAATTCCGAACCATGAAAAACATTCTCGACAGTCTGGATCATAAAACGAGTTTCAAGAAATTTTATATTGTTCTCTCTGTACCCACCAAAGGAAAATGGAATCGTAAACTTACGCCGAATGTTTTCAAAGGAGAGCAAACTACTAATTTTTCAACATTTTTACGACCTCCTTGCACGTATCAATTTACTGATCCAACACACCTGCCGCGCCGCCCCATCCCATCTCCCGTTTCACGAAAATAAAAATTTCTCGGTAAAATGGGACGGTTTTCCGAATTGCGAATCTGCCTAATTTAGTAAAAGTCAGTAAACAAAAATACCCTCAGGGAAATTCTATATTGAGTGACCGGTTCCCCTATTTTGAGAGAATGTAGGAGTCCATCAATGAATAACACGAAAAAGAATGTGATTATCAGGACGTACCGAAAGCATCTACGATAAGGATGGCGTAGAAATCAATAGAAACTAAATTCCTAATGATAATGCAGACGGATGCTGCAGTGCGGTATATTTTTTTTTAGGTCGAAACGCCGTATATAAATCAAAGGCGGATTTGTTTAATTATTTTCTTATGGTCAATTAGGCAACTTATGTACTTACGGAGTTGCCCGCCGACGGATAGAAGGTCGTGTGGGATGAGATTGCGTATTAAATTTGCGTAACTTCTAAATGCGTTACTTTATTGCAAAATCGTATTGTAATGTAAAGACGGGTGGAAGAACCGACTGCTGCTGTATATGTATAAAACACCCCACCTGCTTTGGCGAGACGACAGGAGGGGGTCGACGACCTGACGCGTCGCGACGTTACAGACGCCCAAATCATCTGTTCCATCCCGAAACCAATGTGATTGACCTACCCTTCAATATCCCGTTCTTATAGTTTCTAGTATCGCAATGAAATTTCTGGGCAGTTTTTCTATAGGTAGTTTTAAATGCGTCAGAGTCTCCCTGCAATCATCGGTGGAAAATCGGCACTATTGAATATCCCGATTAATAGTTTACCTTCATATATTAAGAATAGGTACCTAGATATCTATACACAGTGTAGGTACGACATCGACATTGCACGAAAATTTACGTAAACCTTTGAAGAAAACTTTATAATGTATTAATTTCAGTACATAAAGTTTATTTGTTGGTAGTCATGGCGAGCTCCAATTAGCATAATACTAAGACTAAAACTTTTTATTATACCATTACTAAAACTAACCTTCTATTCATACACAAACGAAAGGTAATTCCAATTTTACGAAGAATTTCTTTAGAAACAACACTTTTATTTATATCGTGCGGTAATTTTCATAAAACATAATAAAGACTCTCTTGTGTTAGGTCAGGATTCAGTTTAAGAGTACACGGTGTCTCAGATCGAGTGGGACTGCGTAAGCATAGGTAACTTTGATACCGTTGAGGATAAGAATTAACTTTAAATGGACACAGCTTTGCAATTTTGTATGTTAATCGACTCATTTAGAAAATATGGAAGCTTTTCATTTCGACAGCACAAACTATACCAATATTTTCAAGATTATTATGAGTATTGACTTTCTGTTGTTAAATGAGTGTAAATAGGTCTTTACACAATTAAAGGTTTATTTATTTATCAAAGATGTAAGATTATCTATGATTGATCAAATAGTACTATTAAAATCAATAAACATCACATTTTAATCACGTTATTAATTTTTTTTCAATTTGATAATTAGGTATTTATATCTTCGCCTTATTAACCATTTCACAATTTAATATTCTGCAAATTAATAAAAGTTACATTTTGAATTTTCCAAAACATGTTTATTCATTTTTTACGAAGAGCGATAATCGACTGAAGAAGAATTATTAATTATTAAATTGTCAAAACTCTCTTTAATTAATCATGTAAAAATCAATTATGGCGCGCATTTAATTAAAAAAAAGTTGACATTCATTATCTGTAACCCCTATCTTAAATTACAGGTTGACATGATTTTTTTTTGACTTATTGAAATGAAAAACTTTCATATTAAATTTTGTTTCATAACTTTTGCACTTTTTTACAATTCGCCAGATTTCTAATTTTTTTAAATAACTTTTAATCGGATTCGAATGTTTAACTTATCTGAATGGAATTTTCAGCAATACACAAAATTGCACTCCTTTGCCCATTAAACTTTATCTCTATCTTCAATAATAACAACATTACCGCTTGCTCTTCGTCGAAAGCAGTTATATCAACTACTATCTGAAAGTACGTCTGAACGATAAACATCCAAATTATAATTTAACGACTAATAGAACAAGACCTACACGTTTATATAAAACTCAAGGAGAAAGAGCAAGACAATGTATAGAGGAGTTACATTTGCAGGACGGTAACATTGTAGACCTCACGAAGGTGGCTGTGAAGCGAAGTGTGTATGAGCGCTGGCAGGAGCAGTGGACGCGGACCGATACATCATTGAAAAGAGGGGGCCACTATTTTTACTAGACGTGGAACGGTTGCACTCGACAAAGCTGTATCGGCTCCAGTTGGGACACACTGCTCTAACGCACAGTTATTTGCTGAAGGGTGAAGTACCACCCTTGTGTAATAGATGTGGTACCAACTTAACACCTGAGCACATACTCTGTACCTGTGCAGCGTACCAAAACGAGCGCGATCTCTTTAAAATTAATGTGATATGGGAAACCAATTTTTCTAGTCAGGATTGCTGTCAAAGAATATTAAGATTCATACGAAGTATCGGAATTTTGAATGAACTGTGATAATCTGTGATATTAGTATGTACGTAAATGTTGCCTAGTTCTTGTTTCGTCTTGTACGTCTGTATCTTTGTCTATAGGGCGATAGGCAAATGGCCTCAGCAGCCGAAGCCTTAGGTGGGGTTTTAGTGGGTAATCCCAGCAAACGGGAGAGCCCACACTACTCTGGAATTTCCTTGCAGAGTGTGCATAAGGTGCATTTCCCCACCTATACAAAAAAAAAAAAAAAAAAATAACAACATTAATTATGCACTCCCACTCGATCTGGGACACTCTGTATATTGTCAGTGAATCTTATGGAAAATTGAGTCTTCTACGAGCATATCTTTTTAGTGACGGTGGCGCCATTTAAGCCCCTGGTGAAATCTCGATGAACTAAAAATCGACGGTGGCGCCATTTATCCCCTGATGAAATCTCGATCCACACCAAAATTTATAAGAAAAAGTTTTTCCGACAAATTTTGTAGTAGTCAATTTTCGGTGAAAAACGAAGGTTATATACCTGCCTCTTCAATCTTTCAATTTTTTTGAACTTGTTTTTATTCTTTGGATTCTTCTGAACAAGGGGTGTGATATTTGATTGGTTTTTGATTTTTTTGGACGTTCATGATTTTTTAAAGATTAAAATAGAAAATAGAACTGCGGGGATCTAGATCTTGACTAGAATCGGTTTTAGTTACCATACCTCTTTACGACCACTAAGTACTTAATGATTTTCGAAACGAGGAAGTTTTGAAATATGTTAATGTGCAGTTGCTAGCGCAATGAATTGATTTCTTGACATGCAAAAACTCAAATTTGACTAATCAAACTTTTGAGTAAAAGAACCATTGGTAGAATCGTATTTAGAGTTTCGTTTTCTAAAATAGACATATTTGGAACTTGTTAGTGTTACTTACCTTACTAAAATAGCCAACAGTGTGGCATCCTTCACTGTCTGACATCGTCATTACATAGAATAAAAACGGTTCAACATCATAATACAGAGTTTTGTGATCTAAGAAAAACTTAGCTAGCAAACATAAATTTTGACAATACTGTTTGTAACGCTTCCCATCAACTTCCCACACGGAAATCTTGTCCTTACGATACACTTCCTCACCTGGAGGATGTCTCCACACGCACTTCACTATGTGTCTTAATAAAACCGTACGAGACTTCATATAACGGAGGCAGAACTCGCATATGTACAGCTTGGGCAACCGCGCGTAGTCCTCTGGATATGGGCTTTGATACCACACCTCCATCTCAAACTTGCCCATTTCGATGTATTTAGTCCCCTTTGTGTTAGGAAGCGATTTCAAATCCTCCTCAATCTTCTCACTGGCTATCGCCTGAGCGTCTCTAAACAGCTTCAGATCGTAATCCGGCACAATATTATTCAAATTTGGCTCGCGATTTTTATCAAGACTAGTTGGGCCATCTATGTTCTCCGATTTGAACTTCGCGCGCATCTCCTTAATTTTTTGAGTGTTTTGCTTTTGTTCCAATGTTACTTGCCCACGCTGCATCTTCTTCCAGCTTTCGAACATTTTCTTCCTCATTTCTTCGCGTTTTTTCCTGTCCAGGTAATGTTCCTTGGTGTCGGCGGGCGAAACATTGTGATAGGTGAGGCAGGCTTCGATTGTAAAATGTTTATCTTGACGACCACCCAAATGGCCGTTACTGTCGCAGTCTTCCAGCGGGCATTTACGCTCCTCCATTATTATAATTTCGCTAGCGCGAGATTTGGCCTCGTTTCTCTTTGTATTTTTTGTCTTTCCTTTGCTCGAAACGGGCGCACGCTTGACGGGAGAGCGGCTGAGGGATCGCTTGGTGCTCTCAGTATCGGAATCGGTATCGGAATAAACATTTTTACCCAATACGTGCTTGGATTTACGGGTGCTTGACGAACGTGTCAGTTTTCTAGTAACTTGTTTCGAAGTCAGCTCATTTTCAGATTCCGAATTGCTTTCTTTGTTTAGTTTCTTTTGAGTTGGAGTTTTAGTTATCTTGTTTTGGTTGTTTGAGGCGGAAGAGTTGGCGCTGCTGTCACTGTCGGATGTGTTACTGCTATCGGTTGAAGTTGATATTGAGCTTGCTGAGCTAACTGGTTGTTTAACTTTGGGTGGAAGTTTAGCTTCTACTACTTTTGTCTTGTCTTGTTTTGATTTGGCCACCGTTCTCGGAGAGGCTTTTGTTCTCGGTTTTTGATTGGAGTTCTTAGCTTGTACTTTAATTGCATTCAATTTAGCAGTGTTATTATCAGATTCGGAACTATTCTCTGGGGAAAATATGCTCTTTTTCTTGCTGTCTTCTCTTTTCACACTCCTTGCCTTGTTTGACTTGGCATTATGGCTGGGATTCCCTAAAAAAAGAAGTATGTATAGTAAAGAAGCAAAAATTTATGGAAGATTGTGTTGGTAGACTGGTACTTATGCTAGTAAGTAACAGAACTACCACAGTTGTTTCTACAATGAAGTTTTCGTACCTGTGAACATACTAACATACTAATGTAACAGAGCCGTCGTTTGCGATTGCTAACGTAGCTACTCCTACAATTACGAGCATTTACAATTTTGAAGAAATAATCAAAACCCCAAAAAATATTGCAAATCTGTTTGTTGTAATATTGTACAATAGCGAGAGCACTTCGTTAGAGATGTACCTCTTGCTGTATTTTGAGTTATTTAACTTGTTTTTATTTTTAATTAACATGGGGCGCTTATAGTTAGAATAAGTGTATCTTCTCCAAAAATTGTAATTTACTTAACATAACTTTGTGCATTAATAGGAGAAAATAAAGATTATGATTTCCAGTCGTGGCCTGGGCATTGTTTGGTTTCACTTTTATCTAACAACAAAATAACCGAGAAAATACCACTTAATATTACTATTCCAGTTTGAAAACTTTACATTAAACCTTTATCATTAAAAAAAAATTGTGCCGTTTCAGTAGTTGGTTGAAAATGGTACATGATGTACAAAACACTAGGCAAAATTGCAACGATATCAAACTTTTGTAATTTACCCTTAGACCATATAGTACATGGACTGCTATTAGCCCTATGCTTTCAATACAACATGGATGGTCACGGATAGAGGGCACTGTAGTCGTGGGTATGTGAATCTCAGGGTAAACTAAAGTCGTTCAAACACCACTCGAATCGCGTAAAGAGCATCTTCCATAGCAACCGAGTAGTATGGGAAGCTTTAAATACCCTTGATTATCTTCTACACGTCCACAAATAAGAATAGGTTTGCTTTTTTGGCATATCTAGGCGATTAATTAATTGACGTTTGTTAATTTATAGGTTGACAGTGTCAAATCGTTTCTAATCGGACAGATTCGTTTACCCTGAAACCTTAGACCATATAGTACATGGACTGCTATTCGCCCTATGCTTTCAATACAAAATGGGTGGTCACGGATAGAGGGCACTGTAGTCGTGGGTATGTGAATCTCAGGGTAAACTAAAGTCGTATGAACACCACTCGGATCGTGTAAAGAGCAGATTTATAGTAACCGCGTAATACTGGAAGCTTTAAATACTCTTCATTATTTGCTATACGTCCACAAATAAGTATAAGTTTGCCTTTTTTGGGATATCTAGCCGATTAATTATTTGACGTTTGTTAATTTATAGGTTGACAGTCTCAAATCGTGTCTCATCGGAAAACTTCGGACAGACTCGTTTACCCTGAAACTCACATACCCAGGCGATGTCCTTGACCATATTTTAGTTACAAATAGCAGTCCATGTACTATATGGTCTAAGAATTTACCTGTCATCTGCTTTTGTTTTGGTGGCGGATGTTTACTTGCAGTATGCGTTGATTTTACTGCAACAGTAGCACTTGTTTTTGGTTTTGGATTGCTTTTTCGCTTTTGTGTTATTTTCGCTGCAATTTGAGGCTTTGGAGGTTGATCATCATCATCAGACGAATATATATTCGGTTTTGGCGGTTGTTTTATTTGTTTGGTAGGTTGAGGTTTAGGTTTTATTTTAGTATTTTGTTTTCCAGTAGTCTCTGTACTTTTTCTCTGTGCTTTAATTATAGGCGTTGTCTTTTTTTGTTCGGATACATTTTGTTGATTGTGTGTTCCTTGAGAACTCGAACTTTCTGAATCACTTGTGCTGCAGGAATCGGAACCACTGCTTGAGCTACTGCTGGAACTTTCGAACGAAGAACCTGTGGACGAATCAGTGGAAGACCTGTTTTCAACCTACAAGACACTTACAAATAAGGCACCCCTTTTATCATGTGCAATCTTACCCTTTTTTTAGAAGTCATGTTGGAATTTTGGTCATTGGTGGTTTAGTTTACAGTGTTATGTTTACAATCACTCCATGGCGTCCATTTTAAATTATTGTATCACTGACGGGAATACTTCATTCCCGCCATTGCATGCTGCTAGTACAATAGTGTTTCAAGTTCAATTTGATATTGAAGGCCTAAGATTGTAGGTGTAATTCAACGTCAATTTACGCCCAAACTTCTTCAAAATTCTTTTAAATCGAGTAGCATTTTAGACAGGTAGTAGAGACACAGACCATAGTAAAACCACAGTCGTTTATCTTGTTGAGAAGTTTGGCAACGTTGTCCGAAAGTCAATCGGAGGACCGATAAGTTTTAATGGCGTCTTGTTTCTCTTGTGTAATTATTTAATTAATATATTATTATGGTCGGTGTATCTAGTGAGAACTCAGGTCTAGCCTGGTTAACTAATCGCACGGATTAAAATCAAGTAACGATTAGTGTATGTGTCTGTGTCTGGTGAAGTTATGTAGGGTCAAAAAAAAATCACACACGTACATACATTGGAAATCTAGGGATAGTATGTAATTCGTACTTACCAACATACCTATTGATGGGCACAATAGCCAACGCTATCAGGAAAGAGGAAAACAAAACAAAACAAAAAAAATCATTATAATAATTCCTGTAATTTTATAAAATGGAGTTTATTGTGTAAATGTTTCTTTGGCTTTGCGTTTGGGTTGAATACGAGTGGGTTAGGTGGAGATATTTTAGTATGTTGTGAGCCTGTAGTTCTGTTAAGGTTTTTGCGTTGCGGTTGAATACGAGTGGGTTGTGACTTGAACCGTTACATCTAGAAACTGCAACCGCACCGCAATACACAACAAAGTGTAGTTGATGTAAGCTTGTGTTATCGTTAATGTAATTTGGTAAAATGTGATCATTTAGTGTTTTTGAGAGTGTGCGTAATTTTGTAGTGTGACTTTGTTTAGGTATTCGTGCTCTTTGTGTTGGGTCAGTGTTTGAGAATTCTAACAATGCATTGTCAAATTCTTTTTGAAGGGATGTGAGTGTTTGGTTTATGTGATTATTTGTATCTATCGATTGCTGGGGTGTCGCAAATATCTGTATTTCAGTGTTGTTTAGAACGGGTGTATTATCTTGTACGATGAGTGTGTTGTTTGTGTTGAGTAGTGCTTCAATTTCGTGCCTGATTTGTTCCTGTGTGTCTAATGTAAGGAGTGTATTTTTAAGGATAACTCTACGTTGGTCTGCAATGCGTTGTTCTGTCAAGTGTGCTAAATGTGGGTATTGTGTAATGAACGCGTGATATAGTTTACCTCTGTATGCTGTCCTGTCCGTTTCCATCTTCGTGATCTCCAGATACGTACCGAAAATGAAGCGATTCATCCCTTCGTCCCATTTCATACGTCTTTTGGAGGTATCCTTTGCGCTGGTCCCATCCACAAGCGGTTGAGAAGCAGGCACAAAGGTCTCTTCATGGCGGTCCTCTTCAGGTGGTCGTTGTCCTCTTCGTAGTCTTCTTTCGGCTGTAGAGGTTTCGGGTATCCCGACGAGCGGCCGCCTGTTCACCAACTCGTCACTATCGGCTCGCATGCTGCAACGCCCAGCGATAGCTCCAGACGTGCCCTGACGCTCCTCAGGTAGCGGCATTTTTCCGAGGCTTTGTTTAAACTCCATTTTCATAAGAATATGGGGTGACTAGGAACACGTGAAGGCGTCACTCTTCAAGATATTCGCGTAAGCAAATATCCACCTGCGTGTTGTGTATAATGTAGGAAAGTAGGGAACATGGACGTGGGAGTTGGAAAGTAAAGTGGGTAGGTAAGTACTAAAGGTGGTTGGACTGGTCACCTTTAGTGCCCATTGATCGCCTTTTACGATCTCTAGGGCGAGAGTGGGCCTATTCTATCCCCGAACCCACAGGGGTTTTATTATTATTATTATTATTATTATTTATTTCCATGCTTCAGTACAGGAAGTTCCCAATTACAAAGAAGCAGTTCACTTGTAAATATACATTCACAAAACAGATAGACAGAACTAAACCTAAATTATAACATCATTACTAATAATTGTAATGGAAATCATAATGCAGGTGATGGAACTTAAAAAATTGATTAATGACATTATTTAACTTAACTTAAGTATTTATAATTTACAGATGATACAATTTATAATTATATACTTAAAAAAAATTATAAAAAAAAACTATTAAAAAAAATTATAATGATGGGCAATGAATTCATAATAACTACATAGTATCAATAAAAGAAGAAGAAGAAAAGAAGATTGAGAAGCAAGAAATATGTCGATATGCAACGAAACATTGTTATAGAGGCGTAACATGGCAATCAATGGCGAATGAAACATCATATTTGTGCGCGAAGGAGGAATATGAAATAGAAATTTACTACGATTGAAATAAGTTGATACTAAAAAGTTAACTTGACTCAGCAAATTGATGTCGTTAACGGAACCACGAATTAACTTGAAAAGGAAAGTTAATTGAATGATTTTTCGTCCCTTATCTAGACTCTGCATCTGAAATAAATCTAGCAATCTTGTAGTAGAAACCAGTATAGATGTAATACCTTTGATTATAGTATAGTACATATATAATCAAAGTGTAATACATATACAGTGGTTGTGGTAAAACACACCACGAGAGGATGTTCTTAAGACACAGCCATATACGTCAAATCTAAAAATGAGGTTAAATGCGTCCAACTTTCACAATAACCAAATCACAAAATCACAATAATGCTGTAAGGTAATGCATCTATGCAATGTAAGAAAAGCTTCAGAAATGTGCGTGTGAGTATCACTATATGTACGATTATGTTGAATACACAATTGATTATTGTAGTACTCTCTCACGAAGATTAGATGCTTCAGACTTGTTAACAATGCAAAAACGATCATTTCTGGGTTACTCCAAAAAGAAGCAGTATCAAGGAAGGAAGCTTGTAGGGTAGTAAGAATGTGTTCTTTAATAATGGGTACGAGTTCAACTTCTAGGTATTCTCCTGAACAAATGTATAATGTCGTCACCGACGTTGAGAACTACAAGTACTTTCTTCCATTTTGTAAGAAATCTGATGTTCTATCTAGAAGTTCCTCCAATCTTAGGGCGTACTTGGAAATTGGTTTTCCTCCAATTGTCGAAAGTTATGTATCTGAAGTGACATTGAATAGACCTAACTACACGAAAGCAGTATGCAGAGATGGAAAGTTGTTTCACTATTTAGTAACGTATTGGAAATTTAGTCCGGGGCTAAGAAGTAACCCATACTCCTCGATTGTTGATTTTTCTGTAGATTTTGAGTTTAGGTCTGTACTTCATTCAAATTTAGCACATATGTTCTTCGATAAATTAGTGCAACAAATGGAGGGAGCGTTCCTTGTTGAAGCAAAAAGACGTTACGGCCAAGAAACATTACCTAGCCATGTATTGAGTATACCAAAAAGTTGACGCTATAGAAAATTTTAGTTAATTTATTTTGATGTCATATACTAGTTTATTTTCTCATTTTGGATAATTAGCCATAATTACTTAAGAGAAGGAAATGCCTAATAATTTAAATAAAATTGCTATCTAGTTACTTTTTGTTGTCTAGTGTGGTGGTTATCCTACAATGATTTATTTTAGTAAATTGTCCACGCCGTACGATCCATTGTCCCATGTGAAAAGTAACGTCATAATTGGGTCGGGATGCGGAGTTGGACAGTAGGTTATTTGCTTAGACAAGAAGGTTATTTGTAGGTTGAAGGTTCTTTTTTGAAAAGCCAACAATTCAAAAATGTCTGACATGCGCAGTGTATCGTACGGCGTGGGCTATTTAGCAAACGATGATGTAACCCAGAGACACTCCATGTCTCTGATGTAACCTAGACTGGTACATCTAACCTCAATTTTTTTGGTATTTTAAGCAAAATTCTTTGTGAACATGAGTTTATCACAACGTTTACTCACTTTAAATATTAATCACGCAAGACGAATATTGTGCATAAGGCACGTCTCAACATCAAAACCGAAGCAAGAAACTGCTTTAGTAAGTGATGAAAAAAAGTCTTCCGAGGTACTTGCAAAAATAAGTAGCAACTGGATTAGTTACGGCTTCGATAGCAAGGATGAGAAATGGGATCGTACCGTGATGCATTTGTCTATGTTCGGCGGTATCACGCTAGGATTGGTTTTAGTAGCTTACGGCTTTATGTACGCTCCTGATGTTAATTTAAAGCATTGGGCTCAGCGTGAGGCTTTTCTTGAGTTAAGGCGTCGCGAGGCTAAAGGTTTAAAACCAATTGATCCCAATTTGGTAGACCCATCTCTTGTTATACTACCTAGTGATGAAGAGCTAGGCAATACAGAAGTGATCATATAAACGTCTGTACTATACATAAAATGTTAGTTTAAATAAATAAAAATTGCTATGTATTTAGCTTTTGAACAGAATTACAAACATATTGTACATAAATCATGATTGAGTGTAATAAAAAGCAAAGAAACGGTCAACTAATCTTGATACTTTGAATTAATTATGGTGTCTTCCCCAATCATGATTGGGGAAGACATCTTGTGTTATTAATATTTCAACCCAATTCGAGATTATGGAATTCAGAACGTAATTATGGTGTGATAAATTATTCCCAGATTAGATACTTATTGTTGTTAGCAGACTGTGTTTCTAATTTATTTTGTTTAAACCATTTCCATGTATTACTAACTTGCTTTATGCTTCATATTCTGCAAAAAAATGAGTGGTGATAATAGGGGGGACCTCGAGAATAAGAGAAAGTATAGGTTTACGGTTGCACAACTACATTAAAAATGAAAAACTGATTAGGAAGCAGTCAGACTTTCAAAAATGCATTGCTTAATGTCGACACTCTTATACTTTTTTGTTAAAGTCCTCCTTCCAACATACTGTAATCGAATATCTTTCCTTTCATGAAATGTGGAATCTTTTTAAATTCTCTTGGAAGCACTTAAAGCCCTCATATTTTGTTAATAAAGCCGCTTTGAATCGGATCTAAAAGGATTTGCAAGGATGCTAGAAAGCTTTCTAAATGGTGTTCTGGTCTTCGGGTGCTTTCGATGGCTATGAAATGGGTCTATATAGAAGATTACTAAGCTCTAGACCAGGGCGGCTTAACCCCATGACAAATTTTGAATGGGTTGGACGTATATTCATAAATAGCAGACGACGTATCTCTTCGCAAAACTCTTCAGTCGGCAGCATTTTTGTACAACTTTGCGTTCCAAAAAATTTGAAGAGACAATATTAAACCAAAGAGTAATTATTTGGTATTTTGTATTGAAAGCATGGGGCTAGAGCAGTCCATGTACTATATGGTCTAAGAGTAAACTTGATATGCCGGTCACAGAACACCTGACAAATAGTATGTTTTTCATACCATTGTTGACCGGCATCAGGTGTTCTATGATGCATTCTTTCCTGGCGAGCATATTAGTTATTATACAGGGTGTGGTGCAGTTAGAAAACATTTGCTTTAAACCATTTATTTACTTCAACATGTTAGAATAAATTGAGGAATAAATACAACACATTCAGTTCAAGTGACATCTAACTGTAAGAGAGAATTTGGATTAAGATGATGAACATAAAATATAGTATAATAATTTGGCATAAAACAAATCCTGAACAACTTAATTCCTCTGAAACAAAACTTTGTGAATGGTTTGCAAATCGGGAACTAACTTCTCATTGTTTTTTGCGGCCACAGCTTTCTTACTCAGGGCGGCAATCATTCTACAAAAAGTTAATTATATCTCATATGTCCGACATAAAGTAAAAACTTACGCGACAGACTCTTGCTTAGGAGTTACTGCCGGACCAGTTGGATTATTAAGAGGTCTTTTATTAACTAAAAGACATTTCATAGGTTGCCCGTCGAGTTGTCGATTGTGATAAGTATCTACCGCTTTCTGTGCATCCTTCAAGTTTTTATAGATCACTTCCGCTGTGCCCGGACGTACCAGTTGTGCTACGAGCAATTGCCCGATATCTTCAAATAGTTCTCTAATATCGTCCTGAGTTACTGACGGTTGTAAATTCGAGACTACAATTCGATGTCCAGCCGGAACAACCACTTTTGTCTTTGTGGGCGAAGAAAAAATACCGTGAGATTGCGTTTGAACTGGACTAACGTCGAGACGTGAGTGAACGTTGGATAGACGAGAGGGACGCTGCATAAATATAGAATGTTTGATGGGCGACACCAAAGGCATTTCTTCATCAACAGGCGCATCAAGATCAATGTATCCGCTGGGCATTATTCTACCTCTACATTTGCAAGCATTAGTTACAGCCAATCAGCCCTGTGATAATATATCCGAAACGTCAAATTTAACATGCAGGTTATCTGCTAAAAAAACATTATTTTGCATTATATAGGATGAGCAAAATAATGTTTTCTACAGATAACCTGCACGTTGAGTTTAACGTTAGTGATATATAACAGGGCTGAATATGTACCTGTGCCATATTTATCATGCGAGTTACAAACGTCAGTTAAATGAGAGAAAAATAACTCGAATTCTGTTGTTTTGTTTGGACAGCTCGTGGCCTACTTATATATTAACGCAAAAATTTATTGATAATGTAGAAAGCCATGGACTGTGCAAACAAAACAACTAATATAGGTACCAAGCGCAGAAGTGATTTAGAAATCCACCCTGTCAAGCTTTTATAGGTAAAAAGCATCTAATGATGTTTTTGTGTACAGTTTTACCTCTTAAATTCGTCTGTCGATACTGATGTCTAAACGGCACAAACAAGAAAAAATGGAATATCAGAAAACTCTAGTAAACAACAAGTCTCAATTCTGACAATGTAACTCTAAAGGATTCCACGATACTGATGTTAATCATGATAAATAAGCAATCCACATTTTTCTCACCTATTTCGTGGAGTACTGTACCGATCCCACTCGGCATTCTCTTGTAAATGTCTTCGTGGACGTGAAGATTGTGCCACTGAAGGGAACGAGAGCCTTGGACTGACATTACTTAAGCTTACGCTCGAAATTGGGAAGTATCCGTCATTTATTAAAGGGAAAGAATGAAAGCCCAAGTCGTTAAGGATTGTTTTCCGAATCAAGTGTGGCGGAAGATTACGAGATGAAGATTTTCGGTGTATGGGTGATCTCTTCGATGCTGGCTTCTTTCTTTGAGCAATTAAACCGAGCTGTTGCTGTACTGCTAAGTTAATATCGGTTGTGCTTTGCTTATTTTTGTTTGTGATCAATGAAATTTTGCCATTACGGTCAGTTTTCTGATAGATATTCGTGCCAATAGGTCTGATATTTCCATTGAGGACACCACCTTCACGGACCTCTCTTAGTTTCAATAAACGATTTCGGGCATCTTTAGTCTTGGCTCGTTGGGCTAAAACATCTCTGGCATCTGTCACTATCATACGTTTTTTGTTATCCAATCTTTGTCGGGCATCTGCAACCTTTGAACGTGCCGTACCTACCCCACGTCGACGTTTACGAGCGTTATTTTTACTTTTGTTCATTTGGGTATTATTCCTAAGAAAAAATAGTAGCAGAATGTATTGCCTGTTGCAGGCCTGTCTCACCTGGGTTTATACGCCATTTTAATCGAAATTCTATTAGCCGAATCAATTAATTGTATACAACCAAAATTCGAACACGAATTTTTAATTTATATGAAAATTAACGATTCTTTCCTAAAATAATTAAAAATTGGAGCACAAACAGAAAATGTCGGTTACTGTTCTCGCTAACTTCATTCTTCATATTCATAGCATTGCTTCAATTATCAAAAGGCAACATTGCCAGTTTTCTTTTTTTACAGTATTTGTCCAATTACAATGAAAGTATTCCAGAGATAGAGACAAAGGTGTACGTACGTTTAATCACAAATGAAAATATCTTCAAAGACATCAATTGGGAATGTAACATTTTAATGTAAAACATTTGGAAACGGTCAAAATGGGAACTGCATAAAGCATAAATTAATTACTTGCTCAAATGTCAGTGAACGTTACGAGTTGATTTTTCGGAGCGTTTGCATTGTGTTCTTTACTTATTTTCAAACCATAAGCGGAAAGAACAAAAGAACACCAGCATTATTGTATCAAAAATATATCGACACTTAGTAACTTATAGTTCCTCACTTTTCATAAATGATGGTAGGTACATAATTACGGGAGTGCTAATCGCAAGCATGATGATATACTTATGTTCTTGTTCGTCAGTTACAGTTTATTGAGATATTTTGACTTAATTATCTTCATCTCAGAAAATGTAGACTCGCACGTAAGTTGGCCTAAACCAAACATTATGCCGTCAATTGAAAGGCGGATTTGCTTTAGATTCTTCAGATATAAAAGACCAGAATTTTGTATCAGATCACCCTTTGAGCACCCCCGCTTTATAGGCACAGCATGCGTTATTGTACATACCATGATATCTTTTGCAGTTTTTGAGATACCAGTGGTCGCCCTCGAATTTCGGACACCCTGTACAGTAAAACATTTCAAATTATTGAATTTGACTCTATCGTAGGTACAGTATCTTTCGTAAGTTATTATCTATCTTATCGCGGTTATGATTAATTTACTTTTAATTGTTTAGCACAAAACAAAGATGCGTGTCTGAATAAAAAATTGATATCTCGTTTTAAATTGATTAATAAACTGTTGCGCATGCGCCCACCGATAGGTATATCAGTCCCGGATAACGAATTAAATTGCATTTAATTCTGTACACAGCACAAGTGGTTCAATACGCAGTTATTGTAGATTTTATTGAAAAGTAATCGTGAATTAAAAATAAGTTTCAAATCGATTCTTTATAATGTTCTCCGTTCCATTACGTTCATTTCGACCGTTGAACCTTAAATGTATTTATAGAACGAGTAAGTTATTATTTGTCTGATGTGTTTTTGTAAAATCTAATATTTGTGTAGGTAGGTACTTATAAAATAGTGCCCGACCTGTACGTATTCAAAATTAAATGCTTTGGATTGATAGTTAGGTATTCCAACTGTCCAAAATTGGACGAATTAATAATTTTTGATCGCACTTGTATTTATCGAAAAGGCCAGTGGCTTAAATTTTAAAACGAGATTATTAAACCAAAAATAAAGATTGAAGATTGAAAAAAACGTGTTTTTGCTATTTCAAAGAAAATAAATAAAAAAACGGAATGCAGTGCTCATGTTTTAAAGGCGATAGTGTTTAGTCTGTCTTTTTAATGACGTCTTTGGTCTGTTGTGCTTATTATGGCATTACAATGATAAATTACTAGTTGTCCCCACTCGCCAGGAAAGTTTTACTTTATTATTTCGGTATTCCAAAGAGGATTTATCTAATTGGTAAAATTGGTTAAACTTCCACAATTGATTAAATGAACGCCGGCTGCTGCTGGGAAGCAGGAACTCGAGGGCCGGTTTATTTGGGGTATTATATTTATATGTGTTGGATTGGAAATATATTTACAATGCAAAGGGTGCCAGGGACATTAATATGCACTTATTCATACTATACTAATAAGGGCCAGAAGTGAAGTGCATTGCACTGATTAGGAGTACCTTTCCAACTCATGTTGGAAGGCGTTTATTCTGGCCACTTTCTCCGTCCGTGCGAGGCCTTAACTACTCATACAGTTTTGTAAGTGTCTTCAAAGTCGCCCAATTTGGGATATATCGCAAATGTTATACAACAGCATTTTTGGGTTTTGTATCGCCCATTTTGGCAAAATGATTTTGCGATAAATCGTCCATGCGGGATGCGCCCCTCGGGCCTTGGCGCCCTAGGCGGTCACTTAAGAGTCACGTAATGTATAGTACAAGAGTCACTAAACTTTATTATATGAAAATGACGTCTATATTGCACCAACTGGACTTGAAATCTTTATTTATATTGACCAAAATGTGTTGTAGCGGTTGCTCGAACTGCAACATCTTTGGTACCTGGTGAACCAAGTGGGCCGTCCTTAAAAACGTCTATCCCTGGTCCAGTTTCTGCAAAGTTATTCAAACAACTGAATCACTTACAGGTATAAGTATCACCCATTTTCTAAAAGCTAGAGGTAATAGGTAACGCGCTTTTCAGCAAGCAGAGTCGGTCCAGTTTTTCGCCGACTATGATAAATCTTTGGGGAATTACATTGTAGACGTGGACAGTAATGTTCTTTTGGATTGTTATTCGCAAATATCATCACTGCCCTTAGGTTACAACCATCCAAATTTGTTGAATGTGTTCAACGACGCACATAATTTGGTAGTACCTCTCCCAGCAATTTAGGCGTACTTTCACATAAGTAATACTGTTTTAGAAATCGCTGATAAATAGGCCCGCTTTAGGAGTATTTCCTGGCGCCGACTGGCCACATAAGTTACAGAGTGTGCTGATGAGCGTAGGTGTAGGTATAGGACGTATATAATAAATGTAACGTGCGGCTTTCAGGTGTCGCCCGGATTACCCATGGTAGCGACGATGATGTGCGGTTCGTGTTCGAATGAAAACGCTTACAAAGCTCTTTGTATAAGCTACATGAGGAAAGAAAGGGGAGGAAAAGACTTTTCAAAGCAAGAGCTCGAGTCCTGCATGATGAACCTTCCACCAGGTTCTCCGTCGGTCTCGTTGCTTTCATTCCACGGCGCATTTCACGGTCGCACCTTCGGTGCGCTCTCAACAACTCACTCAAAAGCTATTCACAAAATCGACGTTCCGGCTTTTGAGTGGCCCATTGCCCACTTTCCCAAATATCGTTATCCTCTCGATGAGCACGCGTCAGAAAATAAACAAGAAGATCAAAAGTGTTTGGAAGAGGTTGAAGACCTGATAGTGAGCTACAAAGCGAAAGGGAAGCCAGTTGCAGGAGTTGTGGTTGAGCCAATTCAATCCGAAGGTGGAGATAATGAGGCTTCTCCTGAATTCTTTCAGCAACTTCAAAGGATAGCAAAACGGCACGGCGCCGGTTTCCTGATAGACGAAGTCCAAACGGGTGGCGGTCCCACGGGGAAAATGTGGTGTCACGAACACTTCAATCTTGATTCGCCCCCCGACATCGTCACCTTCAGCAAGAAAATGCAAATCGGAGGATTTTATCACAACGAGAACATGAAGTAACCACATCAGTAGTGTTACTGGCGCAATAATAGCGACCTTTTCCAGGTCCAGTGAACCGTACAGGATATTCAATACATGGATGGGAGATCCCGGAAAACTGTTAATTCTAGAGGAAGCTTTGAACGTGATCAAAAAACAACATTTACTGGATGTTGTGCAGAAAAGCGGTAAGGTACTAAAGTCAGGTATCGCACAGTTGGAAAAGGAATATCCAAATTTAATCAACTCGACGCGCGGTCGGGGAACATTCTTGGCTTTTAATGCGGATACTCCAAAGCTGAGAGATGAAATTGTCTCAAAGTTGAAACAGAAAGGTTTGTATTCTGAGATGAAACTATATGTTGCAAATATTTTTTAGGAATACAAACCGGCGGTTGTGGAGACCACTCGGTTCGGGTAAGAACTGCACTCATTTTCCAAGAACATCACGCTGCTATATTTTTGGATAAGCTTAGGGAAGTGTTAAGGGAAGTGTAATATTTTTTCAATTTAAATATTTCTAAATTAATCGTCTGATCCTAAGCAAAAATTTAACAGGTCTTCCATTATTGCGGCCTTAAATATTTGTTTTGTTAAGTTTTCTTAAGATGTTGTAGGCGCAATGGGATAGAATTTATGCAAGTTGTACCGATTTATGTGATACAAGTGAATTTGGCTCCTAATAAAGACTTTATTTATGGATTCCTTTGTGTAGGTATTTTCATTAGCAATGCTTTTGTTACATAAATAACTACGTTGCATTACTCGTGTTATGTATGTTTATAGACTTGTTAATAACTTTATTTTGGTTGATTATTCTGATGCAGGTATATATAATAAAACGTAAATTACACCGGTTTGTGAAAACTTCAAAAGATAGGTACAGGCGAAGAAATATTTTGCATTTAGGCCCGTTTCACAAATGACTGTTGATCACCAGTCAGAGGGACGGTCCCACAATCTAGCTGTCCAAGGAATTAAATTATTCAAAAATAATCGGTTAATTAACTTACAGTCTAGCAACAAAAATAACTGGTAAATAATGCGTTTATATAGATTTAGTTCGTTGGTTACAGCCATAAATCTTGGCCCCTTTTGTTAACAAAATTTTTTTCCGAAGCGGTGCAATTAACGGTTCCATAGATATGGCCTGTGACCATTATTAATGGGACACCCTGTACATGGAACATGCCTGCAATCATAATCAGCTCCACCTCTTGTGTGGCACTCTGCTTTATATAATACCTGTTTAATCTAGGGACCTTACTGTTTAAGAATGGATGCGCCATCTATTGAAGGTTTTTATGTTAAGAATGCAAATGTGAAACCTACAAGTAAAAGTGTGTATATTCGATGTTGTTTACTTCAAAATTTCGCAAATTTCTAGAAATTTCATCTGGGTAACGCATTTAATTTAAAATTATATTTTTCGTAAATTTTGTGAAAAAATAATCGGCGAAAATGAGTTGCCCATTTAACAAGGACAGCTTAGACAAACTGGAAACATTCATTGACATTTGCAAAAGCAAGCCCAATATTCTTCATTTACCGGAATTAAAATTTTTTAAGGACTACATAGAATCAGTTGGTGGTGTTTTACCACCAGTTACGCCGGAAATGCATTCTCCAACGAAAGAAAGCACTGAACCCAAAGTTGAACCTGAAGAAGAAGTCGTGGAGGAAATTGAATCGGAGGAATCCGACGTAGAGTTGGATATGGACGGGTGCATCGAGCCTGACACTGTTGATGACAGTGATAAAATGGGCGAGTCTAGTAAAATTCCAACCGATGAAGATTCCGATAATGCCGATGAAAAGCGCAGAGCTGCCATGATCGAATTCGGCGAAGGCAATTACAGCAAAGCGGTAGAGTTGCTATCAGAGGCCATCGAACTCAATCCCACCTCTGCAGTTCTATTTGTAAAACGGGGCCAGTCATATCTTAAATTGAACAGACCGAATGCTTGCATTAAAGATTGCACCCGCGCATTAGAATTAAACCCCGATTCGGCCGCGGGATACAAATTTAGAGGGAGAGCCCATAGACTGATTGGCAACTTTGAAGATGCCGCAAAGGATCTCCAGCAAGCCTGTAAGATTGATTTTGACGAACAGGCAGATGAATGGCTCAAAGAGGTTACACCAAATGCTCAAAAAATCATACAACACAAAATGAAAGTGGAACGTAAGAAAGCAGAGAAAGATCTGAGGGAACGTGCAGAACGCGTACGAAAGGCGAAGGAGGCTCATGCCAAGGCAGCGGCACAAGAGGAAGCCGATTTTGGTGACACACCGGGAATGAGCGATTTTTATAAGGCATTTCAAGATCCGGAGATCATGGCTGCATTTCAAGTATGTATCCCATATAGATATTTGAATTTTCTATTAAATTGTGTACCTGTAGGATCCCGAAGTGGCAACAGCCATGCAAGATATATCGATGAATCCTGCCAATTTTATGAAATACCAATCAAATCCGAAAATAATGGCTTTGATACGGAAGTTACAACAGAAGAAATTCCCTGGTGGTTTTCCAGGGATGGGTGGATTTCCGGGAGCCGGTTTCGGTGGTGGTCCCGATGCTCCCGCACCACCACGATCGGGGCCGATGGAAGATGATGGCCTCGATTAAGATTTGAATGGCAATAAATACCTGGTAATAAGCAACAACTTCCACGCTATTTTTATTAATTGTGTAACAAAAATGTGTTTAATTATAAATAAAGTCATTATTGGAAAACTAAGTATTTTGTTGGAAATTGATGGAATATGAGCCTGTTGAAGGATCCTGTTGCAATTTGAAATTGTTGGTGGACAAACCGAACGGTTTTAAAACCATATTTCCTAGATCTTTTAATTTACCCAACATTTCCGACTTCATTTTCTCATTTCGTTCGTTAATGATCGGTGGTAAGCGCTGACATGCCATAATCGCCTCCTTATTCCCAGGATCTAGCTCCAATATTTTTTTATAATCTTCCAAGCTCTCGTCCAATTTTTCTCGTTCTTCATATAATTTTGCACGTCTTAAAATTGCTCGAACATAATTTGGATTTAATTCGATCGACTTTGTACAGTCGTCCACAGCACTTTCTTTGCAGTTTATGTGAAGTTTTGAAGCTGCCCTGTTAGCATAAACAATGGAACGTTCGGAAGCATGTTCCAAAGGATATAATTTTAATGCATCAGTGTACACTTTGATTGAGTCTAAATACTGGCAATTTTTAAATAAATCATTTCCCTTTTTCTTTAGATCGTTGGCTCTGAAAAGTCTTTCGTTTTTCTCTTCGGGTGAAAGACTGTCATTAATTTTCCTTAATTCTTCCTCGTCGATTAAATCGTGGCAAACTTTTGATTCGATTTTATTTGTAGATTCTTCATCACTATCACTTGCTGCAATGTCATGATCGGGAGGGTTTTCATTCAATTGTTGAGATTGTAAATCTCGAGTTAGATCTTCAATTATTTCTTGATTTGAAGGGATTTTGTCCGAATTTAACTCCATTATTTGTAATTATCTAATCAAATATTTAAATAATTGATTTGGACAATTTGAGGTTATGTTCAATTATCTCAATCTGTCATATTCAGATCAATATTTATACACACACAATTCTCATACAAAAAGACATTCCATATAGTTGAGGCGGCGTTCATACTCGCGCGATATACGATAAAGTCTATATCCACGATACTACAACTGGTAGTGGGTATTATGGTCTATAACGCCCTACAGACGGCACTCGGCAGATGGATTTGTCGTACAACTTATCGTTTTGCATCAATGTCTTGCGGTACACTACTAACCGGGCAATAACCACACCGGCGCTATCACAAGCCGGCGCCGATCGTACCGGCGCTCGATCAACCGGCGCTCGTTCCACCGAATGCATTTCGATTTGTGTGGATTGGATTAATAAAACGCGTTATACTTAGTTCATCTCATTCCTCTTGTTTGACCACTCTTAAAATGATAGTAAAAGTGTTAATAACAAACACCCCAACATCCCACCTAAAATAAAAAAGCGGCAGAGCACCTCGGTGTGACCCCACGGAGTCATTGGATTTGACCCATTTTCAATTTGGCTTGTTACATGTGGCATAATGTCTAATATGCAAAGTTTGGACCAAATCGGTCCAAGCGTTAGACCATCCAATCCATGTTATTATTCCAAATGCGTGTATGTAAATGTTACATAATTTGCAGATCGCATCGGTTGAACATGTGTCATGTGCCCATATGCCGGATTGACCAGCGCCGGCGTGACCGCGCGCCGGCTTTACAAGCGCCGGTATGACCTCTGTAGCAATTGTCTAATAAAGTCATTTATTATTATTATTATGGTCTGTGTTTCTCTTGTCAGAACTCAGGTCTTGCCTGCCTAACTAATCGAACGGATTAAAATCAAGTAACGATGAGTGTTTGTGTCTGTAGGTCGCTCTTCTGGTCAAGTTATGTGGGGTCCTAAAAAAAATGCTGCAGCGTTTACATATTAGGCAATAATTACTTTTGCCAATGAAGGTACAATCTGTAACTTTCGACCTTGTTTGTCGTTATTTTAGAGTGAATATCGCGAACTCACAGAGTGGATCTCTTCTAACTACCTACCTGATGCTAACATCTTCCATGTGTCGTTCGCCGTAAGGACTTTGGAAGGGGCGCGGAGTTTTTAAAAGTCTTTAACTGGAATTTACAACTCATCTTCTAGACTAGATATGAAGGAAGACAAAAACTGCTCTAAGAAATTTAATTTAGAAATAATCTGTAGGTATAAGATCTCGGTGCTTCGTAGGTCGATACAAAATGTAATGCTGCGCTATAAACATAAACTGGAACACGATCGAAAAAAAGCCCAATCCAAACTTCGACGGATTTCCGAACACCGAAACCCAATCGTCTAAATACAAAAATAAATTAATAGTTATTTACATCAAAGACAGGAAAATGGCACATTCTGTCGAGGAAAATATTGATAATTTCTGAGTTAGGTACCTAATGTCATTTTACTGACGAGTTTTGTATTAAATTTTACCCGAAATCGTATTTTTATATAAAATTTCAATTTTCATATAGAACTTTTAATTAATGTCAATCTGTCAGTTATGACAGGAGTCATTATAGACCATTAGCAATGTCACAAATGCGGCCAGTAAAGTGACAATAAGCGGCAGGAAACGTAGTCTAGCTGCTCTAATCTTTTATTTCAATAAGCTGCTCTGCCTCTGTCATGGAAACTAAAATTTCCCGACAGAAAGTAGGCACGAAAATGAAGGTTTCATGTAATAGTATTTTACATTATTAGCCAGGTAAGTGAGTTTTTACTGGCGATAGGAGAAGTTGACTGGCGAGCCGTCAGGCGAGCCTGTCATCTCCTAGAGCCAGTAAAAACTATTACCTGGCGTATAATGTACAATATTTTATTTGTTACTCATTTGTAAACAATAGTAAACGTAAATAATTAGTTCTTAAATTGATCTCGAAGAAATGTTCTAAAATATCATGTTATCCATGTAACAGAGACTTCGCATTAATTCTGGCCAATGAAATTACTAGATTACTAACTTGTAAAATTTTTACAGGTCAGCTGTCAGTTTTACAAGTCAGTAGCGTTTAAACATGACGTTTACCCGTTTGCGTTTTGTCTTGTTAATCAGCGTTTACAACTGAGTAACAAATAAATAAAATAATTTACATCGATTTGATGCATATACTCACCATAATTATGAGAGTCCAGTATCATTTGCAGCATACTGAAGAGTCCTCCGAGAAGGTCTAGGAAGACACCGCCTATACTCCAACCGTCCGTACTCTTTCGTTTGTAGTTTAAATATGCCTTAATAATAAGTGTTAGAGATACATACAAATTGGGAGACAATGTACCAAGGGATCAAACTCTTTTACAGTTTAATTCCAGGGCACATATGTTGGTATTATTTCTAATACCGGCCAATATAAAAATGACGAATAAGCTGACATAATTATAGCAAAAAATCAATTTACCTGTGGTATGTATTTCAGTAATGTAATTAGTAGTTTAATGTACGAACAGAAGTACAAAAAGTCTATCCAGTGAATGTTGTCAAAGTATACTAGTAGAAGACTTGTGAAATACGCAATTCCCATTGCTATTAAAATAACTGCCCCTGTAATCGAAATCTTTTGATTTCCCCTCGTGTACACGAAGCATTGAAAAATCGTAACGATAATTGCGATCGTTCCATGAATATTGAAGGCGATGTCATTAAACGTTACTGGAATCAAACTCCTTGGATATCTCTTCATGTACTCCATCTGAAAAAGCGGCTTGATTAAGAGCTTTGAGTGCTAGGTCTTACAATGATTTCGGGTATATAATACATTCCTATGGTGAATATGGTGTAGGAAAGGTATCCGACCATGTTTAAGGCCAAATAGTCGAAATCTAGACCGACTACGCTGGAACAAACAGAAATCCGCAAGCATATTAATGTAAAATAAGTGTATAAACACTAGTTTAGTTAGTAGTGCGAGTTTTAATCCACAGAGTACTAAGTAATTGGGGGCAAAAAGTAACGTTCCAATAACTTTAGTACCTAGGGACCAAAATAGCTATTTATTAATTTATTAATTAGAAATTATGCATTTATCATTATCATACCTTTTCCGCTCGTAATTGGTATAAATTTGGGGATAAAACGATACGGACCAAACGGCAAAGTAAGCCCATCCTATAATCACAGATAGAATGTCTATCATTTTACTTCTGTAGATGGTTGCTGTCAAAAAAACACCATCGATACTAAAACGGTAATCCCATCACCAACAGTCCGTATTACCAGAGCGCGTTTCTCACCTTATATTGGGCGTAGAGTGAGCCGTCAGCAACGATTTTCCAATTCCGATTCCCTCAACGGTAATCGTGTATTCTTCGTGGTCCGAACTTAGAGTGATTGCCGATGGACTGACGGCAATCCGATCCTTATATTCGGGATGAAATCGCACTTCAACGTCCGGTTGTTGAAGGTCGCTACAAATTGGGAAAATTAGGGAGGCACTTTTTACATCGTTGAAGAATTGCTGCGATTTGATGTGGTAAGCTATTTCGACCCACAGCAGCAATTGTCCAAAAATGTAAAGCTTATAAGTTTAATTGTCATAAGAGTACATACGTCACTGTTAAGATGAACGATTGAGATTCATTGATCTTCATTGATAATTGATGGGTGTTTATCTTGATTTCGCATTGTGAAATTGATGTAGCTGCAATCAATTATGAAATCAAACGACCCTCAGAGTTATCTATCATTTATTTTTTTCTAGGAACATACAGTTCGGACGTTCCTATTTGGCTCAACGAGAAGTTGCGTATTCGTCTTAGTAGCACACATTTGGATATTTTCAGTGACGCGACGGGAACGCCGGTTTATTGGATAAGTATAACATATAATATACCAATAAAATAATTTTAGTCTTAACTAATTATTGTATCCCAAGACAACAATTATATCCAGGGCTGTAGCCAGAGGGGGGCAAGAGCGGGCAGCCCGCTCTTGGAACTCACTTTGCCCGCTCTTGAAAATTGCTTAATATGACACAATATACCATGTTCATAAATGATCACATATAAAGAAAGGTGCATTCGGAATTATGTCAAATATTGAAATTGGTCAATTAAAAATGTTATCGTTTTTGAAATGAAACGCCCTATATATTTTAATCCAATCGGCCAGCATATTAAATTCTCTTTTCAAAACTATAGCACACGAAGGGTGATATTAAAATAAAAGATTTAAATGATTCAAAAAAATTGAAAAGACTCAAATAATTTCTTTAAAAACTTCTGTTTAATCTTTTTTTAATTGAATCCGTTTAAAAGATGAGGTTAGGTGCGATAATTCCTTTACCAGACCCCGTATACTTATTTTAAAAGGTTGTAGGCCACTTTCGTTTTCAACATCGAGTTTATATCAAAATGTTTTCAAAATGTTATATGGTCAAAAGAAGCTTTTTAAAAAAACGTATGAGCTATAATATGCAACAGTTGCAGTGTTTGGTTGTTCGACTGCTGTGATTGATCTTCATTTTCAACAATGACGCGAATCAAAAAGCTACAAAGGTCTTCGATGATGTCTCTGATTTGATCTTTTTAGCCTTTGGATTTCTTCAAAAAATTAACAAAAGAAAAGGGACGATATTAATCATGAAAGTGTTTAGGATGAAAGATGGAGGTTAATACCGTTTGCAAGAACGAATATTAACAAAGCCAGCCCACATATACCTAATAGGGGCAAAAATGTTCAATAAACTCCCGTCCAAAATTAAGAACGCGCAGAAACTGTATACCTTCACACGGCAACTCAAAATCTTCCTGTTGGTAAATTTATTTTATTCTGTGGAAGATTTCATCAGGGAAATGTTAAATGTCAAATGTTTGTCTTATTTGTGTTTAATTGACTTGTCCTATACACTTTGTTTGTCTTACAGGATGAATATATATTTATTTATTTATTTATTTATTATTAATAGTTTGTTATTAAACGAGTAAGGTTTATTGTGCGTTTCCCTGTTAACCCAGGGGGTGAGGGTATATATGATATACATTGATTACTATCATTTTAATTATCATTTCTACTACCAACAAAACGTAGTACAAGAGGTCTACAAATGGCCTCCCACTGTTGTAACACACATTTGCGTTTTGGATCCCTATGAATCCAGATCTCAATGATCGTCAGTCCGCCTGTCTGTGCACTCATTTCCTGCCAAACCACTCAACAGAAAGTAACTAAAGTTGACATACGCGCGTGTTCTTAGGTGAAAGAATTAACAATTGAAAAGCCTTTGAAAATTATGCGAAGTGTATTTTCCAAGAAAAACGAATTTATTCAGCGGGTGGTATTTGCGCGGACACAGGAAATTATTTCGCCCGCCCGCTCTGTAGATTTATTGGCTCGCTCTTAATAATTAATCTGGCAACGGCCCTAATGATATCATTTTTAACTTCGAGTTTAGCGATCAAGATTTGAGGCAATTAGAAAAGATTAAAGCGGTTGATTTTTGTTTATTAAATTAAACAAAATAACTCACCTGTAATCAAAATCAGCACGACCACGGTTAGTATACCGGTGTACCCACACATTGCCATCTGCAACAGAAGTATAAGTAGATGCCACAATAATTAACTTCTCATTCGCTATTAATTATTGTAAAAATTGTTGAGGAATGTTTAAATAAGCTCCCAATTAAAAGTTAAAATTTTACCATGTAAATTATTGTTAACTTCTCTTCACTTCTTGTTTGGTTCAAGTGCAGTTTTTTGCAGCTCGTCCTACTGTACAAACGTGAATCGTGATTGTGAATTGCGTATTAACTGCATGGGAATGCAATGCACTGATAGTCGAAATATAAAAAAAACTGGCATTGGCTGTACAAACTAACCGAATAACCTTGGGTGACCTATTTCATGATTTAATTGAAACACGTAGTTAGACGCAATTAAAAATTGAAAGAATCTAAAAGCTTTTCTCCTGTTGCCAAATAGATTCACTTCTTATAATGAGAAAGTTTTCAAAACGCGTTCAGGATAACATTGGAAACATTTCCATAATGTTTTGACGATTTATAAACAAAATAGAAATAGCTTCCCAGGAGAATTCGACTATAATTGTACTCGTATGAATGAGAATGAACGCAATCAGGGAACGAAATTATTTGGATTTCGCCCGAGTTACTAAATTGGTCACACATATTTTTTTAGGTGACTCGATACCAGAACTTTACCAAATGTAAATTATGGTTAAAACAAAAAGTAACATCCTATTGTAGAACATTCTGCCCCGTGGAGCCGGATCAAATCGAAAATTGAATTGAAATCTTTATTTCTTCAAAAACGGAAATTGCAATTGTGGTTTACGAGTCGAATTAAATTACGCTTCTTGCTCTTTTTTAAAAAATGTCCGCGAAAAAGGATTGCTTTGCTATATCTTTCGATTTGTATAATAGCCTCGTTATTATGGATTCAGATTCAAATAAAAATATGTAAAGGGAAAAGGGGTTGACACAATAATAAATTGTACTCGAACTGACTAAAAATAAATTAGAGTAGGTCTAAAGACTGTTTAGAAAAGCGCTTTTTGCAACAATTCGGATGGCTATATCTATAAATAAATAAATTATCGTCAGTTCATCTAGTGGGCAATAGAAATAACCGATAGATACAAAAAATGTACATCTATTAATAACAGGGGCATCACGACTTGAATGGTTTATTTTCTGTGTCAAAAAAATGTCTTTTGCTATTAATGTACGTATGTGAAACATATTCATAAAATGTACCGATTAGGTACAGCTCAGGTTGAAATAAATACGTGTACACGTGTCGACCAAAAAGAATATTATTTTCATAAAAGGTTCATTAAGTATTCGTTTTACGATTTATGTAAATAATTAAGTGCTTAATCCCAAGGGAACTAATTGACGCCAATTATACCGACGATTACGAGAAGTAGAAATCAATTTGCGATATTTTAATTTAAAAAAACGCACTTGTGGTATCTACTAAAGTGAGGTTCATAAGCAAATGAAATTATTATCATCTAAGTTTACCTTAACCAATGATAGGCGATTTAAAATCATAAATAATGTGTTGATATTTGGAGGAAACCCACTTCACGTAGTTCAGTGGCTGAAAGGACTAGTACTTACTATCTATATTTATTAATGATAAGTAAAAGATAATAAATAATATAAACAAACGATTAAGATAAATAAACCGCGAACCAGTCAACTTTTTCTACACCGAAATATATTTCCTATTCTACCAAAAAAACTTTTTGAATATCCACTATCCTCAATTTGTAGGTATAGGTATATTCATTCTCGTTTACCGGATAATCGGGATAATACTATAATTTATGTAACATTAACACGATAATTCGAGAATTTTAGATTCTGTTGCCAGAATCAATAACTTAGGTCTGCTACGGGTTCGTAGGTGTGCAAAATGGGTTTGACCAACATTGTTATCCAATAAGTTACTCAATTATCTCACTAGAAAAACGTCGAAACGCATTGTCCAACAATATGGACATCAATTTGATATAGTACCTACCTACGAGTATTTGTAATCAAGTTAAAAACCAAAACCTAATACCAAAGTAGTAATGAAGTGGATGATCCATATTCTTATATTTGGGATGTATAATTAAGAAATCTTTGTCTTTCCCAAATTTATTGTTATTCTTGTTGTTGGCTTAGATATAATTAATTTAAATATAAACGACGCTTTCATATAAATTCATTATATTGCTTTGATAATAGCCATTAAAATTATATGACCGAAACTGTATATGTAAGCCAACATCAAGAATAAAAATAAATTTGGGAAAGACAAAGATTTCTTAACCAAAGTAGTAAATTTGTTACGTTTTAAATTATTGATTTTTGAAAACTTGAGATGTTACTCGTAGATGAGCAATATATTGAATATTCCATTCTTCATTAATGCATTTTCCTTATGGGTTACTATTGTATTGTTAACATCTGCACGTGGTTTAGACATAATCTGATAGGTGTATGTTCTTAAATATTCACCGCCAAAGAATCTTACTATTTTATGCACACGTATCAACCCTCAAATTGAATTTTATCGCCACCCTAATTTAGGTTGCTTTCTGACGAATTGTATATGGATGACCGACGACGAATAAACGGACCTCTTGCTAAATAAGTCGCAATTTGCAAGCCTTCTGAATAAATAACCAGTGATAAATCTCCACGCAATTCTATTTTTCCTAGCCGCAGTCCAGCTAGCACAGAGCGCAAGTATACCATTCGATAACTTTAATTTTAACAAACTTTTTCAAAAATGGACGGAGGATGATCCTCAAAACTTGTGGGAATTGAGCTACCTTGTTATTGTACCTAATGGTTAATTACAAATGGTACTTTAACCTGAATCAAAATGTCAATTGTAGGTTCGGACTAGTTCAATCGAATGGGTTTTGTGTGAACTTACATTGTGTCCCGTGTGAGTTCTGCGTGTATAGAATTAATTTTTTATATTATATATTTTGGACCCAGGAAATCTAGTTACATTACAATCAGACTCTCTTTTCATACAGAGACTGGAATAAGATAAAGTTTTCGAGGAATTCTATAGATATAACAACGCTCATATAAAATGCGCGATCACCTTTTTTAGGATTGTAATATATTAACTTTGACACTATTTAAAATCAAAGAGTTGATGCATCGAACATTTAAATTTTCTTCTGTTATATCGTGATATGGTAATAGCAAAACGAAAATCACGTCGATTAATTCATTATGACAAGGTAGGCCACTTTCAATGTGGCTAAATTTACTAGACTACTTAACTGTCTTATAACAAACTAATTTTTTGTGGGGCTCATAATCAATATGATGACACCAAGTAAGTTTCTGGTCTAATAACACATACCTAAACATTTAATTTTATTAATATTATTCATGTTTGTTATCTCACGGTGAGTAAACATCATTTCCAAGGTTTTATTTTCATTTAATAGGTACTAGTTTGTTATTTGTAAACCATTCTAATCCAGTCGCGAGTATATTCAGTACCTATTTGACGTTGTACCTCATTGAAATCTCTATTCTTTATGAGCAGCGTAGTGTCATCAGCAAACATAACAAAATGTGAACAATTTTCCTGGCCAATTTTCAAATCATTCATAATTATTCATACCTATTCATTTATAATAATAAATAACTTTGGGAGAACATCCAAAACTGTACTAAACAATCAGAGATCATAACTGACTAATTATACTGTTGCCTTTTTTGCAAATAAGATTTAATGAGATTTCAACTGGAGCTAATGAACCCACAGTGTAGGTACTAAGTTTTTAGTAAGTCTCTCATGATTCACGTAGTCAAAAGCTTTTTTAAGATAGAAAAAAGTTTCCCCCACATATTCGCTGTTTTGATGTCCATTAACAATATAATTAATTAAATAAGATATACAGCAGTCCTTTATAGTAGATTTTCCAAATCTAAAACCAAACCGGTTATCTAAAAATCTAAAAATATCTAAAATATTTTGCTGTTGTTTCATATTGTCTTTTGTATTATAATATGATATAGGTCCCTATTTTATTGTTATTTTTTTACGGTTTCAAAAAATATAAACATTAACAAATGCAGCGATGAAGAAGTGGAAGCTGTTATAAGTTGTCCGATTTTACTAACCTACAAAACCACTATACCCGTCCTTGAATTATCATAGATCGATTTAAGAAGGTGGTCAAAAAATGGAACAGAAAACACATTTAAGTTTTTGTTTGTGGAATTCAAAAAAGCACCTTAACGGTTCAAAATTATATTTTTTTTATAACTCTAGTTAAAATTATTTATAAAACCATTTTTTTTTGCGTTTTTTACCGTTTGGTTTTTTGGCAGAGTAAAAATTAAATTAATTCAAGGATCCAACTTACAATGAGGTTGATGTGAATCAATGAACGAAACCAATTTCTCCCCATAAAGATTTAATTAACAAGACAAAATATAGTCTGTGACACGGTCGCCTAATACAACGTAAAATTACGACCAATTTCGGACAACAGCTGTGTCCATTCATAAGTAAAAAGGCTTAAAAAGAACTAACAATAAAAATGTTAAACTAGGGATAAGTGAGGTACGCTGTATCGTATCCCTAGTTTAACATCTTAATGTTAGTTCTTTTTTTTTTCGTTTTTACTTGAGAATGGACACAGCTGCTGTCTGAAACTGGTCGTAATTGTACGTTGTATCTCTGTGATTGTATTAATTGTTAATATATTCTTATGGGGAGATATTGGTTTCCTTCATTGATAAAGAATTAAAAGTGATTGAATTAAAATCCTTCTTTTTTAGACGCAAATTGCAGACTAGGTTTTTTCAATGCGGATTGATCCCAGATGCGCATAGATCCTTATATCATGTCTAACAAAAGTGATAAAATTACGTTTCCATTAAATAGATAGTGCAATGGACCGTAGTTCTATAGTTTAAAAAAAATTGCGGTTGCATTGGTGGTTTGTATAATTAAACACTATACCTTCTTGGTGAATTACTGAAACGGAAAACAACTGCGACTACCCGGTGTCTAAAATGACTTGGAGAAGCCTTCCTGGGTTGAAGAATCAGATGATGTAACAATAGAATACACTTTCATTTCTATTACTTACCTACAGAGTGTACTTTTTTTAACAAACTTATCATGAACCTCTTACCTAATTACTTACCGTTGTTGATTGAAAAATTGATTTTTAATTGCCACTTTAAGCACTGCGTACACTTGTAATAATTATTTCATATAGTTGCTGAATGATAAGAGATAAAGCATGAATTTATATAAATAAAAGATTAGGTTTAGGTTCATCTACAGCTGCGCAATATACAGTGCGGTCAAAAAAGACAACTTGTTACAAATCTGAATGGAAACGCGGTTGGTACGTAGAGGACCAAGTCGAAAATTGAGACGGTGATGGTTGGCGTTAAGCTTTCAGATACACACAGATGACACAGTATAAGCAGTTCCTCATGGTCTCACGTGGTAGGTATGAGAACTGAGAATTCAAGGTTGATATCGAGGTGCTAAACCAGGAACTTGATAAGGAAATCGGTCGTGTTTATATCACTGGCAGGAGTCTTTCCATCAGGTGAGTCTAAGGTACAGTACAAGTGTACTTAGGTACGTCACTTGTACTGTGAACGGGTGACTTTCACCAACACCCAAAATGAGGCTGTGAGTTGAAATGGTAATATCACAACTTCCATCTGCAGAAATTCATGCATTAACGTCTAATTTTTCATATACTTACGTGCCACTAGTAAAATTAAAGCGACTACCCTTCCAAGATTGCCTAATCCCATGTTATCACCATGTTCCAACGGTGCACCTCATCCAAGGAATTCCGGCACACTGTACTTTATGTATTTTATTTTTTATAGTAAAATAAAATGGTGACCCCTCTTATCAAGTTGTGCAAGAATAAAAAAAACAAGTTATATTAGACAGAGTTGGACTGGGTCAAGCATAGAGTGACCCAGTGACCCGGTGACCCAGTTAGTTTACTGACCCAGTGACCCGGTGACCCAGTTGACCCGGTGACCCAGCTTGACCCGGTGACCCAGCTTGACCCGGTGACCCAGCTTGACCCAGTGACCCAGCTTGACCCGGTAGCGTAATTCCTAAATCCAATACTGTGTAACGCAGCTCGATAGAAGCCACGCCCGCCGTACATCGCAGCGCACAATATAATACACTGCAGCGCTTTGGCCAAAATGTAATGTGCTGCAGCGCAACCACTGTCACAACTCTTGGATTCAGAATTACTCCAACTCGTAATGCATAGGCAACTGGTCGTTTTGTAACATAACCATAACCTTACCTCAGTTAAAAGACAAACAAATATATCTGTTCTGATTATGGATACATTATCATTATCCGAGATAATGGCCCGTATGAATAAAAATAAGCACATGCTTATACTTGCAAAATTCAAAGTAAATACTCGTAAGTGCCCCTTTATACTGGTTTGTTTAGCAGCGCTGCATTACGTCCTGTTCTTCTGCTTAACAGCGCTGCTAAGTCGCCCAGTACGAAGGAGCACTTACGAGTATTTACTTTGAATTTTGCAAGTTTAAGCATTTGCTTATTTTTATTCATACGGGCCACTGAATTCTTTAGTGGGGAGTGAGGGCATTGTGAACATTCGGGAATGTACGGAAGAAAGTAATTTCGTCGCAGTGCTCCGTGTCTGATGTTTCGAGGAAAAAGTGACGTGGAATCGTCCTCCGCTGATTTCAATGAGAGGTGCGTAATGGTAAAACTATAATTCAGGAAGTCGGTCGTCTTCGAATATTCCCAATGCGAAAATCCATTGAATATTTGCTATAAGAACATCTGTTTGAAATTCATTGCATAAACAATACGCTGTAATTAGGATGAAATAAAGATACTTTTTGCGTTATGAGAGTTATTTTAGTACCTAGGTATCCTATCCCTCTATTACTCCATGCGGGGGCGGGCCTTATAGCGAGCTGCGTTACACACTATTAGATTTAGGAATTACGCGACCCGGTGACCCAGCTTGACCCAGTTTGATCCGGTGACCCAGCTTGACCCGGTGACCCAGCTTGACCCAGTTTGACCCAGTGACCCAGCTTGACACGGTGACCCAGCTTGACCCGGTGACCCAGTGACCCATCTTGACCCAGCTTTACTCAGTGACCCGTCTTGACCCGGTGGCCCAGTAATTAAATTATTGTTAGGTATCATCCAAAACAATTTCAAGTAACTTTCAATTTAAAAAAAAAACTTCCTCAATAATATTCGGCAACAAGCACGTAGCCCAATTTCATTCAAGAGAACTAATACCTAAAAAAATCAAATGCATTTGTTTATTGTTTGTAGTAAAGTAGTCAATGAAAGTATTTAGAGAAAAGATTTATTTGGATTAAGCTAACTACATAGTAGAAAAAAATTAAATGTGAATGAACACCACTGTAAGCAAACTGGTAAGCCCTGAAGCAAAGAAATAACATTATTCTAATACAATTCGGGACATGGAAAGTTTTTTACGGCAGTATTAAAGCAAACATCACAGAAATGGCAGTTGTCAAGCAATCGAGTATTATTTTCAACAAACCAGCATTTCATTTATTGCATAATCTGTACACTTGAACCGAGGGCACTGACTTAACTGCGTTATTCGATCAAACTAGGTGACTGGGTCGAATTGGGTCCCCGGGTGAAATTGGGTCGCTGGGTCAAACTGGGTCACTGGGTCAAACTGGGTCAAGTTGGGTCACTGGGTCAATCTGGGTCACTGGGTCACTGGGTCTAACTGAAAAGAGTATGACGTGACCCAGCGACCCAGTTTAATTTAGTGACCCAGGTGACCCAGTTGACCCAGTGACCCAGTCCAACTCTGATATTAGATCGGCAATAAAGTGGTATAAGAGAGTATTATTATCAATTAATTTATCATTGTACTTCATTTGTAGGTATACCGCCAATTTGTGGCAAATTTGGATGCAGAACGAGATGCTCTCAAAATTTGCGCGCGCGTGCCAAGTCACTATAATGTGAAAAAATGGGGCAATCCAAATGCATGTATATTTGGTCGATTTTTGTTCTTGTACTTATTTTGCTCAGTTAACAAATATTCCTCAAAGAACCTTCGGCATACGTTTTTTTCTTCGGCATGTCCTTTCCTTTCATTATTCAACAAAGGCATCACGTTCTGTGTGGAAATGATATCCAAACTAAAACATTCACATCGCGTTTATTTTATCTTATTTTGTTTTCATTTACCGTGGATTTGGATTTTCCTCAAAATACTCGTAGGATAGTAGACAAAAAATGCCCATCCCAAAGATGGCGCTGTCGACGGATAATTCAAACTAAAATTTTCATTCGGTATCCACTTACGATTTTAAACTATAAATTTATAAATTATAAATTTAATTAAATCTCGAAAACTTTAATTACATTATAATTATACGGGTTTTGAAAATTATTTCCTTGTTGGTGTGAACCGTAATGGAATGAGGCAAGGAGAGTTATTTTCACTAAACTGTCATTAATTGGCAGAATGCCGGGATCTACACACGCTTAGTTATTTTTGGACTGCTATAGGTACTCGTGCTGCAAGTGGATGATATTTAATTAGGTGAGTGAATAATTCGCAAACTGTAAAACAAACTATAGAGTGCAACATTTCTTATTATTGTTTTAAAGTAGTTCGGTGTCGAAAACAGGAAAACCGAATACCGGAACAGTATTTTTAAAGAAATCTGAAATGTAAGCAGTTTCGTGAAGTCGAAGTGTCGAACTTCTATCAGTAATTGTGTGCTACTTTGCTTTGCCTTACATATTTTATGGTCTTATCGTTTTGAGTTATTCAGATTTTTAGAATGGCGCTCTAGCTTTATATTCGATGTTATAAAATTTGAAGGTTTTTCGTCTTTCTTACTCGTATTCGAATAGGTAACCCCTCGAAAACTTTACTGGTTAGTCAGAAATGTGGGTTACTATTTAAATAAACAGTTGTATGACGTCACGGCGCTAAAAAGTCATATATTACTGAGAATTTTTCACTGATAATTTTGAGATTCGTAAATTTTTCAGAGAACCTTTCGAGACCCTTAGAGGTCTCTCCAATTTTTAAACTTCTGGAGAAATAAGTTGAAACAAATACAAAAAACCCCAGCGGAATATTCTTTCAGGGATCTCTTTTGATCGATTTTTAGAAGTGGTTGCTAGGAATGCAGCTTGGTTAGTTAGCCAGTTTAGTTTTAATGTAAAAAGCGAAGTTGGAAATGATGACGTTTTATCACACTATTTTGACCTGAGCGACTCATGGAATCGAAAGTTTTTTTGAAATAAGCGAATGATAAGTGGAAATAAAATGACGCATTTCAATCATCGAGACCGTTAGATAAGACGATGACCAAATTTGTATTTACGCACATCCTTATTGACATAAATTTATTGTTCGTTATTATTATTCTTTTGAGGTGGTTTACTGTCGCATTCAATTTAATAATGCATTATAATTTGAGGTTAAGTAGTAAATCGTAGTGTTTATACACTATACAGTGTGCGAAAAGTTTGTATTGGCATTTTGTCTAGAATACAAAATATCAGAATCGAAAGGTGAGAAGGTTACGGTATCTCTTGCACGTTGCTGATTAAAAAACCAAAAGTTACTTTGGAATCTTGAACTATGACATAGAACTCGGATAACGAGATTAAACGTTTCCAATAGAGTAAACTTACCTTCTCTATATTTATACCAGTACGGAGTACCTACCACTGCAGACCATCATGTGCGCGTTAGCATTTCATTCGAAAAAGGTTTCTTATGTCTTATCCTCTCAGCTAAGAAGTCCTAGGTTTGCGGATTTGTAACGTGCGATCAAAATTGAGTTGCTGTCGAGTCGTCTTTGGAAGTTCAAGTTAAGTACTTCCTAAACAAAAATTCCAAATGTGACTCCAGCAACTCATTTTTGATCGCATAGTATTTACTTTTGCTCTCGCTGTCCCCGCAGCTATTTTTGGTTCCATATTAGTAGTAGGTAATTTGATCCCATTTTTTTGAGATGACTGGACCGTTGCATTCGAAATAGTGATGGTGTAGCAAGAATTGCTACCTTCAAGGAGGTTCATCAAAAGCAGTTTCCCAAGGCATTAGAAGTCGTTTAAGCACATTCGTTCTCTAATCGCAAAGAGATGTACCCTACCTACCGGTGGAATGTATTATTCCAATTCATTTTCCTATTTGAAAGATATTGAGACGCATCAAAAACGAATGCCAATCGCAGATTTTCCAAAAACAGAAACAAATCTTCTAATTGGGTACCGTTTTGACGTCACGTCCCTTTAAAGGGTAAATGACTAACACAATTGACGCGCGTATTTTATGTTTAAATGAATTGGTACCGAGCACATATGTGGCAACAACCTTGAATCTTAAACACAGATGTTCTGGATGCTGGTCAAATCCTTAAGTGAGTGCGTGATTAATAAACAGACGCGGGGGCGAACGCGAAAGCCGAATTTTACTAACCAGTGTGGCCCTTCCCAAAAATGATAGTTTCAAAACGGCGTTTATGTAAATACTGAGTGATTATATGCAAATTATACTCAATGTCTCACGTGTTCGCCTCTAAGTAGAACTATTCGAGTCAATTTATAGGAACAGTGTTAGTCGGCCGGTTTACTAAATGAAATGATTATAGTTACGACCGTATTGAATAATACGGTTGAAGTGTGCAAATCACAGATCATTGCAAAAATTGTATAAATTAACTTCCTCCTCTTCAGATAAGACTATACCTAATGGTACATTCGAAAACGGAACGAGGTAAGAGTGACTTTGACTGTTCAGATGACTAAAACGGGTCGTTGGTTACAGGTCCACTTCTGTTACATTGAAGAATTATGGGTGGTTAAAAGGGTAAGTTCTATATTTTGTTTAATTAGTCACGTATGCAATTGATGGGACGAATAACTAACCTTTTTGCGATATAATTGATAACTGCCTAACTTGCAAAAATCTTACAGAACCTGCACCCTTGACATTATAAGCAATTGTAACTTTAAGTATGTCAATAGCACAAAATCAGGTCTTCCCATCGAAAGCTGATTCTCTCTTCATGGTGCATTACGTAATAGATAATAGTTTTTTCGTTCTCGTTTATTAATTATTTAATTGCTTAAGTCGTTGTCTAATAATGAAATAACAGTTCCTGTTCTTCAGTACCTATTGATTATTGCGTATCATTCACACGATACGTCGATTAAATACAATCCTAGAACTGGAACGTTATCTACAGATTCTGAAGATCGTCCGGATCATTCGAGAGGTTTTTTTGGCATAAAAGGTTTAATTGTTTCCTTTGGCAGAAGATCTTGTTTTTCCTAACTTCGTTGAAAATGATCTGTTAGCGACACATCACTGCATGTCAGTAACTCGTTAAAATTGGTGTCAGTAAGTCAGTTTCTTTCCCAGTGTATTATAATAATATTAATAATAATAATATTTGCCTTTATTTAAAAAAAACAAGAAAAATAAACAACAGAAAAAATTAGTAGGTACAAGACGAAGTTCAAATTGACAGTAAAATAATGTCATCTGTTCTTACACTTAACCTTGCTATTTTGAATTCCGATCCGCGAAAAAGAAGAAAATTACATTATAGAAGAAGTATAGAATATAAGAAAAGAAGAAAAAAAAGAGATAAGATATAAATTACATCAATTTGGGTGTACTATAATCTTACCGGTAAAAATATTTGAAAATTTAGAAATGGAAATGGAGCACTTACTTAAACTGTATTTGTTTGTATCCTGAGCATATCTGTATGAATAATGGATTTGAAGGATTTTAGGGAAAGCGATTTATAATATAATAGGATTAAGTAAGATTTTTTGAACGCTTGTGTTGTATGAATCGGAGGCGTTATAACAATCCCTTGAACCTCAAATTAAGATTGTGCAAGTCTGTTCGAAAATTAATTTTCTCGTACAAGTAAGCCGGTGTTTTATTTATTATGACTGTGGAATAAGGCTGATGCGGCATGCAAGAGGCTACGATTTTTCATATTCAACCATCCGAGCTCAACCAATTTATGACTAATACGTTCTCACCTTCTGTAGCTTCTGAATTCTGTTAATATTAATCGAACTAAGGCATGGACCATACAGAGAGTCACAGTAGTTGAGCCTGGATAGTACCAAAATGTTACACAGAACTTTCTTACGCTAAGTGCCAAATAGGTGTCGGTTTTGATAAATAAGTTTTAGACTTGCATAACCGCTTCGCAAACACTTTGAAACATGTTGATCGAAACGCAAGTCTGGATCCATGGTAAGCCCCAAATTATTCACCTTATCAACGGTCTATTATTAATCGTTATACTTATTCTATCCATAACTTTAAACCTATATATTTTGACGACTACCGAAAAGTACCATTTTCGTACCATTTTCGATGTATCAGGGTTCAATAGGAGGCCGTGCGCGGCCGACACTCCTGACATGCGCTCCAACTCATCGCTCATTGTTACGCACGCTTGGTGCATCTCATTGGGTAACAAAAACAAAGAGTAATATATTTGAGTGTCATCACTCATCAGCGTAAAAATGAGACAAGCAAGAATGAAGAACACTAGGAAATGTGGATATGTATATGGTGAATAATATGGGACCCAATACAGACCCTTCACAAGTAACGATTGTGAAATATTACCGCTCTACGGAAACTATTTGTGTCCTATTACAAAGGTAATTAACATTTAAGCTTACAGCTGTAGGACGAAGACCAATATACATACTTTCACATAGATTGAAGTAAACCAGACTTACCTATGTAAATAACTTTACTGATTTTGTTAATTCAATTTAAAGTGTAGTGATCGGTTGGTATGCTGAAATAATTATAGTAATCAGTTGCGCTAGTTTGACCTCACGACAAAATAAATTTATGGTTATATCAAGAGCAAGCTTTCGAATTTTTGAAGCATCTTGTCGAACTTAATTCTTGTTTGCAACTTTTACCTTTGAAAATACTTAGGGTGGACTACTATAGTGTGGTTTGAAGTACTACTGTGGGCTCTCTTAAGAATCTATATACCACTTACTGGTACTAGGTTTTTTGTTTGAGGCAATTACGGGAACGCTTAATTGGAATTGAAGCAGTAAGCTTCTTAATCAATGACACGTTTAGTTTAGAGAAAAGAGGATCTTAGATGTTGCTTCATTTGTGTTGCTTTTTTGATTGCATGGGCGGATTTTTGACTTTCATCTAAACGCGCGTAAAACGACCTCATTGGCTGACATTTACAGCCGAGTTTACAACATTCGGAGCATATAGCTACATGCTACATCAAACAGACATTTTTAAAGACCAAAATGATCATGTAGAGTGCATTTTTCCAGTGATATATAGGTAATAGCCAATGGTTTAATGGCAACGTGAAGTCAGTACGTTTCTGTATGCAAAACTATATACCTATGCGGGTAAGGTGAACTGGACTTCTAACCTAATATCGACGTTAATTATTGGAAAATTGGTTGATTACAGAATTGTTATAACCGTTTCGGAAATTACAGTTTTCACATCAGTGTGAGAATAAAACCTAGACATTCACAAACAAAACGTGTTAAATTTAGTAACAATTTGCAACAAATTTAGATCACGATATAAAATGGCGACCTTCTTTCATTGTACCGGGATGAGATAAGTAACATGCGATTGACTCCTTACACAATGTTTGTGCAATAAGTACTGAATTAAAATTATCTCCACAATTTGAACGTAATTTCAGTGAACCGATGCGTACTCAAAATTATCGCGCGTTTCATTAATTATGAGGACATTAGGAATAAGATGTTTAAGTAATTAGGTAACTCCTGAAAAGTGACCGTGCGTGTGCTATTATTTTACAAGTTTTGCTTAGAATATTGCGGCCGCAATGGATTAAAAAGTATGTAAGTAGACTTTGATTTGTTTTTTTTTCGATCAGTGAAAGAATTTCAATCATTTTAAGAAAGATTTTGTTCTCGCTGAAAAGTAGGCATGCCTAATGCTTATACGGTTGACTATGGTTCATATTCAATTTTCATTATTTCATTTCAAGCTTAGCCAATATTACTATTGTTAAAAATGATAGGAACTATCGTGAACATAAACATTTAAGTCTCGTCATGATTCAAAGTCCGTTTTTACACTCAACTAACATTCAGGATAATTTCTTATTCTTTAACTGCATAAGTGATTACCTATTGTATTACCTAATTACTTCAATCACCCTACACGTAAGTACAATTTTTAAAATTTTTTGTTTTCCTTTATATCTCGGATGAGAATCCAATTGCTCGCAAGAAATACGTGGTGTGCTATATTGCTTAACTATACCTACCTATATTTAAAAAACTTGGATTCTTATACTTAAAGAAGACTAAAGATCAAAAGGACACAATGGCATTAGACCCCTGGATAATAAAAACAACTAAACTGTGTTTACTGTTTAGTAAGCAAATAAGTAGATAATAAATATAACGTTCAAAATCGGTATATTTCCGAAAGAACTGAAGGTAGCGATATTTAGAGCACTATATATTTACCTACATAAGGTATAAATTATTAGCTATTATCGTGGCTATTATTTATTTTATCAATCTGGCAGTGTTTAATAAACCATGGCATTATTAACATTAAAGTTGTTATAAAAATTCAAACGCTACTTGCAAAGTACTACACGACCGATGAGGTGGGTCGATTAGGACTGAGCACAAATTTTTGATTTGTTCTAACTTCAACAAAACACTGATGTTTATACATAAAATAGGAATGTTAATTAGATGTAGGTGTAGAATCCACTACTGCATAACTTTTTTTTAATTTCAAGTCGAAGAGCTTTGAAGAGAATTCCTGAAAGCCCGTATGAATTAATTGCTCGAATCATTTCTTATTTACACCAACACTGAAAATATGAGCTTGCCACATTTGCAATTTGTTTTGTGATGGAGTGCGTTTGCTAAAAATTTCGAATCAGCTGAAATAATTCAAAAAATTGTCCGATAAAGTGTAAGTAAACATCCAGTAACACCATTCTTACAAAACTGAAAACAAATCTGAATGCGTCTTGGATTTGCATTAGGTATAGTATCTAAGTCGAGATCTAAGTATTCCACAAAAGCTCCGATTTCTTCCTTCGTTGGACATCCTGTGCAGCTGCAGTGAAAGTAGGTATATTTGGTAAATATTCTGAACTAAAGCAACGTAAAGTGTGGGGTATATCACAAAGAAGCGGTTTACGATGCATCTTGTTTTTGTTATACCGAAAATTATATTTTTTAAACATTAACCTCAGAGATGAATGTCCTAAAAAAAACACATTTTCAACGTCCTAAAATTCGCATATTGTTCAAAACCTTCAGCCTAACTCTAATATCAATACTAATCACAACGATAACAATAGTTTCAATTAATTTCCTTTTTCTTTCAGAGATAAGATTCGAATTTCCGTTTTCGCCGATTACACTTTAAAAATAATCACGCCAAAGAATGGAGAGAATAGAAGACTTTGCAATGAAAAGTTTGTTACTGCTAACGCTCGTCACATTTGGTAAGTTAGGTACTACTTTCTGTGGTGTGCCAGTAACAGATTGATTTTAGTGCAATCGATATCGTTTTGTAATTTCACATTATCCTCCGACAGTCTTCTGCTCGAGCTGCGAGAGGATCACGGCGTTGATCTCGAAGTAACGTAAGTAAGGATCTGTATTCATTACATTGTGCTTCAACTTGCCTTGTAGTTGCTTTAATGAGACGGACGAGTATAACACGATATTAGAATTCTTGATCCAAAATAAGGACATCGTGAATGTCGAACCGCCAATTTTGCTTGTCGATCCCGTAAACAGTACGCATCAGTTTTTCATCGAAGCTGCCTCCGCTGGACATACAGAAGTTGTCATATCGACGGTCGATAGTGCTATCAAGTAAGTTGCTTTTTTTCAGCACAAGTATTGCGAACCACGTGGAGGAATGATTATTGCAATATAACCTCAAAGTCAAATTTTCGTCCATCTTCATTTATCGCCGGAAGATTAGAGTCGCAAATTGCACCATTTCCAATTTGGAACAACATTTCTCTATGAGTGATTCCCATTTAGTCTACCTTACCCCCGTGTAACATTTTCGTTTTAATTAAAATGCCTCACATTTTATAGTACGAGTACAAAGATAAAATATCAAATGTTAGATACTTAATTCAAGTGCTCTTTCGACTCTAAATGTCAAAATTCAAGACTTGAAACTTGGAACTTAATAATTCAGGTGCATTCATGCAAAAGTTTAACTGTTAATAGCTTTAAGCTTCCTAAGGATATTTCAAAAATGAAGAATCAAACGTTCAGAGACTTCAAATCCAAGTTTTAGAGTTCAATCGTTGATCTTCCAATTTGACACATGACGGTCTGTTGATATAAAGGTAAATGATGTAAAGGTCACCGCTTTAAACTTTTCACAGTGTAAGTCAAATGTCAAACTTGAAGGTATATATGCGAAGCTTTAATCTTGAGTTCAGCCTTTAGGCTTTAAAATCTAACACTTCAAGCCTTGCTTTTCAAGCAACAAGATTCAATTACAATATTATTATTATTATTAATATGTCGGTGTTTCTTGTGAGAACTCAGGTCTAGCCTGGTTAACTAATCGCACGGATTAAAATCAAGTAACGATTAGTGTCTGTGTCTGTGTCTGGTGAAGTTATGTAGGGTCCTAAACGCCAACGCTATCAGGAAAGAGGAAAACAAAACAAAAAAAAAATCATTATAAAAATTCCTGTAATTTTATTAAATGGAGTTTATTGTGTAAGTGTTTCTTTGGCTTTGCGTTTGGGTTGAATACGAGTGGGTTGTGATAACGTGGTGTGCTTCTGTGAAGAAGGAGTTTTGTGTTTTTTAATTGTATTTATGGTGTTTCTTTGTTCCTGAGGTCGTATTTGTGAGGTTGCTTGGGTTTTTGGTGGAGATATTGCAGTATTTTGTGAGCCTGTGGTGCTGTTAAGGTTTTTGCGTTTCGGTTGTATACGAGTGGGTTGTTTCTGAGAAGAAGGAGTATTGTGTTTTTTAACTGTGCTAGGGCGTGTAACTTTATTGGATGGACCTGTCTTTGTAGTACATGTTGCGTTACTTGTGTTTATGGTGTTTCTTTGTTCTTGAGGTTGTGTTTGTGAGGTTGCTTGGGTTATTGATGGAGATATTACAGTATTTTGTGAGCTAGCAGTGTTGTATAGGTTTTTGCGTTTGGGTTGAATACGAGTGGGTTGTGATAACGTGGTGTGCTTCGGTGAAGAAGGAGTTATGTGTTTTTTAATTGTGCTAGGGCGTGTAACTTTATTGGGTGGACCTGTCTTTGTAGTGCATGTTGCGTTACTTGTATTTATGATGTTTCTTTGTTCTTGAGGTTGTATTTGTGAAGTTGCTTGGGTTTTTGGTGGAGATATTTTAGTATGTTGTGAGCCTGTACTTCTGTTAAGGTTTTTGCGTTGCGGTTGAATACGAGTGGGTTGTGAAAATGTGGTGTGTTTCTGTGAAGAAGGAGTTATGTGTTTTTTAACTGTGCTAGGGCGTGTAATTTTATTGGGTGGGCCTGTCTTTGTAGTGCATGTTGCGTTAGTTGTATTTATGGTGTTTCTTTGTTCTTGAGGTTGTATTTGAGAGGTTGCTTGGGTTTTTGCTGGAGATATTTTAGTATGTTGTGAGCCTGTAGTTCTGTTAAGGTTTTTGCGTTTCGGTTGAATACGAGTGGGTTGTGAAAATGTGGTGTGTTTCTGTGAAGAAGGAGTTATGTGTTTTTTAACTGTGCTAGGGCGTGTAATTTTATTGGATGGACCTGTCTTTGTAGTACATGTTGCGTTACTTGTGTTTATGGTGTTTCTTTGTTCTTGAGGTTGTATTTGTGAGGTTGCTTGGGTTATTGGTGGAGACATTACAGTATTTTGTGAGCCTGTAGTGCTGTTAAGGTTGTTGCGTTTGGGTTGAGTACGAGTGGGTTGTGTTTGTGATAACGTGGTGTGTTTCTGAGAAGAAAGAGTATTGTGTTTTTTAGCTGTGCTAGGCCGTGTGGGTGAGGGCGTCTTTGTAGTGCGTGTTGCGTTACTTGTATTTATTGCGTTTGTTTGTTCAGGAAGTTGTGTTTGTGTGGTTGGTTGAGTTAAGTTTGGAAATATTACAGTATGTTGTGTGTCATGTTGTGAGTCTAAAGTGCTGTTTAGGCTTTTGCGTTTGGGTTGAATACTAATGGGTGTGATAATGTGGTTTGCTTCAGAGGTGAATCTCTGATTGTAGTATATGTTGTATCATTTGTTGTACTTGTTTGTTCGGTAAGTTGTATTTGTGTGTTTGTTTGGGTTAGAGGTGGAGATATTACAGTATGTTGTGTACCGTGTTGTGAGGGAGTGCTGTTGTTTACATGTATACGTTGTGGATCATTTCTGTATGTAGTATCTTGTGTTATGTTTAGAAATTTACGAACAATATGGCATGTGTTGATAATGACTGCTTTTTGTAAATGTTTGTATGTGTTTTTGTCCAAACCTAATAGTTGTAAATTGTGGTGTATTGTCTTTGGTATAACTCCGGTAGCACTAAGAATAATGGGAACTATAACAGTAGATTTCATTCTCCATTGCGTCTTAAGCTCGATAGCTATATCGGTGTATTTGCGGTGTTTTTCTGCATGTGTTTTAGTTAAGTTGTTAGTGTTGGGGATGGCAATGTCTATAATACAAATGGATTTTTGTGTTTTATCTATAAGTGTAATGTCTGGTCTATTATTGTGGATAGTTTTGTCTGTGAGTAGTGTCCTGTCCCAATATAATTTGTGTGTGTTGTTTTCGAGTATGATCTGTGGCGTGTATTTGTAGTATGGTGTCGTATCTGTTATGAGATTGTGTTTAAGTGCTAATTTTTGATGTATGATTTTAGCTACCTGATCGTGTCGATGTTTGTATTCAGTTTGTGCAAGTCGTGTGCATGCCGATATTATATGTTGGATTGTTTCTGATGTTTGTGAACAAAGTCGACAAGAATCATTTGTCACTGTTTTATCTTTATGTATGTGTTTTTTATAGTTGCGTGTGTTAATGACCTGGTCTTGTATTGCTAACATGAAACCCTCAGTCTCCGGGAAGACATCACATTCAGACAACCAACTGTGCGTTGCTATAGAGTCAACACAATCCTGGCCTTATTAATATTATTATTATTATTATTATTATTATTATTATTATTATTATTATTATTACAACGGGTGGTAAAAAAGCGAAAATGTTTTAAACAATTTCTGGATGCTCATCCCCTACCTTTATTTTAGATTCAAGCCGCTGTGTCTTATTGTAAACGTCTTCAAACACCATTACTTAGACATTTTATCCAAAGTTTTTGGATGGATATACATTCTCTCATGGGGTGCCTCGTACTATCCACAGATATACCTCAACTACAAAAGAAAAAGGTAAACGCGCGAATTCTTGTGTACACACCAACTTTAATGTTTTTTTTACAGCGTGGTCGGCTTAAACTTTGACTTCGTGGCTCTCAACATCGTCGGTTACTGCATGTACGGCATCTTCATCCTGAGCGTGTTCTTCGTCGATGAAATACAGGATGAGTACTTCCACAGACACCCCAGGGGATTAATTCCAGTAAAGGTGAACGATGTAGTTTACAACATCCACGGCATTTCGGCGCTGGTCGTCACCGTAATCCAGTGCTTCGTGTACGAAAAGGGAAATCAAGTCGTCACCATGTTCGGACGGATAACGCTGGCGCTGATCTTCTTATTTTCGTTCATCATCGTAATATTAGCCGGATCAAACGTGATCGAATGGCTCGACTTTCTTTATTACTGTTCCTATAACAAAGTGATAATAACTGCCCTAAAGTATATTCCTCAAGTAAGTGGGATGCCAATGAAGTCAAAATGTCACCGTTGCTTTTTAGGCCTACATGAATTTTAAAAGGAAAAGCACGCAAGGTTGGAGCATTGGGTTGGTACTACTGCAGTTGAGCGGCGGAATTTTCAGCGTGTTGCAAATGATATTAGATTCGTACAACTACAGTAAGTATCTGTCGATGAGAGAGGTGGATTAATTGTAGGTTCTTATAGATGACTGGGTGTCGATCTTTGGAAATCCAACAAAGTTCCTAGCGGGAATGTTGAATATACTGTTTCCAAGTTTCTTTGTCGTACAGCACTACATTCTGTATAGGCCTAGGCCCATTATAAGTAAGGTCTGAAGTATTTTCTTCGTAGAGAATGAAGAATATGCTAATTAGTTATTATTTTTTATACGCCAGTTTGTGATAGTTGTAAATATTTTGTTACAAACTATTAAATCTATTTATAGAGAGAAGTATTCAAAAACAAATCGATTTTGTTACATAAAAGAAAACGTTAATTCGAATAAATCAGTGACATGAACATAAAAATGTAATACGATGACTTGGCCGTTCTCCTACCGCAACCATTTGCATAACTGACCTGAGCACTTACCTACTCGACTGTTATGTCGACGCACCTGGTATACCTAAAGCAAAAAGTGAGTTCACGGGCCGTCAACAAGCCATGCGCTAACTCCCAACCCGACCTTTGACCAATACGCACATATGTGGGAAATAAATGTAAAATGTTAATGTATGCCTTTTTATTTTACACCCTGCCACTTCGACATACATAGCAGTTAGCACCTACATTTGCTTCTTTCTTAGGAATCTGTCACTCTGTAGTAACGCTTTTCTAGGAAGGTAGTTTTTCTATTATTGAGACCTAAAGATTCTAGCATGAGATTATTGAAAAACCTTCTTCGACAGATCAGTCACATGATCAAGGAATAAGAAAAAAATGTGCCAAATTCTTGACAGAACAGATTCCTAGCTCAATTTAAAAGTAAGTAGGTACCGCTTTTAGAAGAGTATCTTCAAAAAATGATGAGTAGGCAAAAATTATCGTATATTTATTGTTACCACCCTAAAGCTAGTCACGATATAACCCGTATTTATTTTTGTTTATTTCGAACTTAATTTAATAATTAGATCGCGATAATCGATAATTCTTTATGATACATTCTTTCCTAAATACTCCATGTTGACTTTTAGCGCTTTTTTGTATTTATTACTAATAATTCATTTATTGTTCTCAGTCAAGTAACGTTGCTCCCGGTTAATACTCGTATTTGAATGGGTAACCACTCCAAAGCTCGTTAATAAGTGGGTTACCTACGTGTGGCGCAGTTCAGGTAAAGCTGAACTGTAGTGCTAAAGTACCTGATAGTTCGAATGGCATGGATATTTGTAAATATATAGTGGGTTGGGTGAACCCCCGCCACTCAAAAATAAAGTCAAATTAAAATAAAACTATTTGAAAAAATCCGGCCCGTTGTTTTTCGTTTCCGTATGCCTAATATACAAATCCAAAATTTGAACAAAATGTCGGAAAATTTCCAACGTACGCACGTACCTACGCACATACATAGACACAAAAAAATTGTGTTCTTTAAAAGTTACTTAAAATAATCTAAAACGTCGACATGTAATGAAATTTTAACATGTCTAAAAAACGGTGATTGCAATAGCCACCTAGCGCGAGATAGGAGGCTAAAAATATATAAAAACCATTGATATTGCTTTATTTGAACTAGAATTAGGTACAATTTTTAGCCATATTTTCCCAAACGGACACATTCATTAATGTACACGATTGTGTTAAACTTGTCCCTCCGTTCGTCTCCCATCTGTCCATATCTTCAGCCAGTTTTGAGTGAAAAATGCTACTAGTATGAAGTGTTGAGAATCGAATAATTACATCTTGGCGGCACCAATTTATTCAAGGAATCTTTATTTAAATCTCTTTCAAATTAAATTAAAATGTACTAATAGTACGTACTATTAAGGACCAGATTTTCATGTTTTATTTATACTTATCTCATAGATAACCTCCATGTAAATGCATTTTTTTCCGTGAAAATTAACTGTCAGATAGTTTTAGTAGTAATATGAAAAACCGAGCCTAAAGGAATAATAATTAAACCCATGTTTTGGGGGCGGGTTCGAGAGGCCTCTCCCTGTACAATACATAATGTTGGGTAATGAAAAAGCTGTGGATGAATATATTAAACAGTCCTAATCCAAACTTGGTAGGATTGCCAAAGATGGAGAGCCAATCGTCTAAAAAGTGCAAAGTTACTAGGTAAGTACGTTAAAACTGCTAACAGCATCTTACTATAATTGTAGGCATCCAAAATCATTTGAACGACACTGAGTAGTCCACCGGTCAGATCAAGAAGAACGAGTCCGATACTCCATCCGCTCGTACTTTTCCGCTTATAATTCATGTACGCCTAAATGGAGTCCGATCAGTCAAGGAGTGGTGAGTTAAACTTACCTGAGGAATGTACTTGAGGAGTGTGATGATAAGTTTGAGGTAGGAGCAGTAGTATAAGAAGCTTAGCCATTTCAAAGCTCCTGTCGCTATCAGTATACCACAAACAATGTAGAACAGAGCCAATATTCCCATCAGTACTTTGGCGATGTTTGAAACTGTCTGCCGTGCCCTTTCGTAAATGCAACACTGAAAAATTGTGAGCAAAACTGCGAAGGTTCCGTGAAAATTGTACACCACGTCGTTTGTTTTAACCGGAATGAGACCCCTGGGGTATAAGGCAAAGTACTCTTGCTATATTCATCTCGTCAAAAAATTGGCGAAAATTGATTTCAATTACCTACCTGTAAATACGGAACGAAGTACAAACCGGATATGAAGATCCCAAACGATACGTAACCAATCAGATTGAAACCGACATAATCGAAATTTAAACCGACCACGCTGTAAATTTGAAAACATTACGTTTTTTGTTGGTATACCATAAAATCTAACCTCTTTCGTTTGTAGTTGCTGTAAATTTGAGGATAGAAAGAGGATCCCCACGATATTATGTAGATCCATCCGGCGATTTTGGAAAGTATGTCCACCACGTAACTGTTGCAGACGTTTGTAATCAAGTATATGTCTGATAAACTGGAATGAAAGCGAAAATTTTAATATAACAACTATCATGATCAACGATCATTATGGTCAAAAATTCCATTAGCTCACTTATCCCTAAGTGAAGCATACCCGGTAAATAATGAGCTCATTAAGTGTTTTGGAAACTTGAAAGGTGGTCAGAGAGGAGATTCAATGTAGTGAATTTCGCTTCTACCTATATTAAAGGAGAATCAAAATGTTTTGGAATAATAATAATACTAATATATAAGGAAGTAATGTTGTTAAGTCGAATCGAACGTCGAAAATTAAGATTATCTTGAACAAATCAACAAGATATTAACTGAGCAAGAGGAATAAGTACAATCCATCAAAGGAATAAAGTCATTGAAATGTAGGTACCTATTAATGAAGCGTCTCAAATTGAATTAGGGTTGATTAATATTATTGAATAAGTAATTACTTATAGGATTCCTTATTCAATGTTAATGTTGAGTTATTTTGATATAAATCCACAAATATACACAGTAGGGTTTCACCAGAAAGATTTTCCCTAATAGTTATAAAAATCTATTTATTTTAAATTGTGTTGTTAATCTTGTTTAATTTGCATATAAATAGTTATAAATAAACTAAGAGATAATTTTACAAAGTTTACGTCAAAGGAAAATTTTGATGGAGACTATACCATAGCATTATTATCATTCGACTTAGTTCAAAGATGAAAACTCTCATTCTGGTCGTTTGTTTATCTTTCTGACAACATTATAAAGTTAAGTATTTCCCTCGGTATTTCCTGAACGTCTTATCGGTTTCGGGCCTTCGCTATATGCCACCTTTATTTTACTACAAATATAGCAATCACCATACAATATCGTACTGAAACTGTCCCACCTGAAAATCGTTACTTACCTCGTATTACGATTGAATAAAAAAAAATCTGTTTTTCTACATAATTTTACAAACAGGCGACTGTGACAAACAGTAACGAACAAATATCGAATCCCTGAGGTAGGTACCTGCACCAAGTGTATTCTAAAATACATTTAGGTATACAGTTGCGAAAGTTGAAACGAAGGCGACCTTGTCAATATTAAGATTCGACAATAAAGGTAGGTACTTTTATTGACTGTCACGCTTGTTTCTAGTAATTCGATATTATTGGATGTAAGGAAGCGTAAATTGCGTTTTATATCCAAATTAACAACTTGTCTCGTGTTTTAAAGGGAAGTAGGTCGTACATTGATACCTAACTTTTGATCTTAGAACATTCCCCGAGAAAACTAATGTTTGTGTATTATTTGAACCTTTACATTTATAACTTACACAATACTCGTGTCATTAGAAATTGCTGACACTTCTGAGTGCCCGGCCGTTCTTCCCCTAACTACTAACTCGTACGTTTCGTTAAAGGGCTGCAGAAATAATGTTGTGGGCAGGACGCTTACAATGTCTTCGTGTTGGGCATTCAAGCTGATTTGGACACCTAAGGTGCTAGCATTTCTAAAAGCTGAAGGTCAATCCATTTGTCGTTTCAACTTTTCTTACCTTACTGTTACACTAATCTTTGTTACATCATTTGTTTGAACCAATACTTCTTTTGTTGAAATACTAATTTCACCGATTACAACTCCAATACCTAAAGTCTTGCAATAACAACTACAAAACGTTGATATCACTTACCTGCGATAAAAAATAAAACTACACCCGCGTTTTGATAGCACAACATTTTAGATACAAATATACAACGACATCACAAGAACAAACATAAACGAACATACGTCGCAACCACTACCCAGATAACGTAGTGAAATGTTTACCCACAGACAGAAAAATTAGTTATCTCCTTTTGAAGCTGGTAACCTTTTAATCTTCTAATCTAATGTGTGATCACTGCCTTGCCTTGGAAAAAAGTAAGCCCAAAACGTGGCGAACTGAACGCGAAGCTATAAAGATTGATACTAAACGTACCTACTTCACTTAAGTTTTTATTAAAAATTTTACAAATCGTGATAAAGTATACGTTATTTTAGTAGTAGGAAAAAGGGAACGACTCACAACTTATCGATTCAGTTTAGAATATTCATATTAATTTCATCTGCCGAAGAGGAAGTGGCGAGTTAATTATTATAGAAGTCCAAATAACCGGAAATGGCATCACTTTTTTAAGACCAATCTTAATTGTTAAAGCAAACATTCCTCTACGCCTACACTGCTCAAGTTAACAGCTCGTTTAACAAGTTCCAACAAAAGTACCAAGAAAGAAATGAAAAAAAAACGCCGTGGTAAAAGCCTAAAAGTAGGCAAATAGCGCCTAGTGATGTATGCAATGCAACCTACAAAGCTTTGATCACAGTCTAGAATGATGTGGTTACATCTACAGTGCAGTTATACTGGTCACAGCACGGTTTCCTAGTGGGGTGAGCAGAGAAAACTCACAACATTTTTTTTATTCAATGCTATTAATGTGTAACTTGCATAGTAGGTAGTAGGTACAATCTCTTCATTTCTTGTTTTAATCATTGAATAAATTAAATTTTTATTCAATGCTACAATTGATAACAATAATAAGTGAAAATTGAAACTACGAGAGTGAATCAAATTTAAACAAGATTTTATTTTTAATATTTTATTAAATATATGTTACGTACCAAGCCCGTTTTTGTACCGTTCGCGTACTGTACAGTGATATTTGTACCAATCGCAAAGTGTACAGGCTACTTTGTAGCTCGAGATTTGTACTATTCGCGTTCTGTACAACCTATTTGTACCGAACTGTTGATTTTAATTTTTCATTCAACTTCGTACAATTTAATCTTGTACAAAGTTCGAATGAGGAGTTGCCTGAATACTTGAAATACATATTTGAAAATAAAAGTTATTTTATTTAACGCAAACACAATTTGAAATATTAATAAAACAAAAATAAAGATTATTTCCGTAAACTTAAATTTACCTGCAATAACAACCTATTTATTAGTACAGTTCAATGAGTTGTGACTTGTGGCACCGAGAGTTGCACAAAACTTTTTTTTTCTACATACACACCTCTTATTTAAACATTTTTTAGTACAAGCGCACCGCACAAATCCTTGGCCGCCAACTACTGATGCCTGTGAATTTGCCGCTCGTAAGGATATCGACGCAGGTGGTACTTCTCCGATCTCCAAAAATGTAGTGTTACATGGTGCAATTTGATTTCGACTGTATAACTGTGAGATAACCCCGTTCTTTGTTCCTATCTTGTAAAAGTTATCAGAAGTCACTTCCATAACAACACCTAAAACAGGATAATTAATATAAGAAATGCATTTGAAAAAAACCATACCTATAAGGTTTCTGAGATCACTTTTACTCCGGTCCACATCGGGTACTGGTCTATTAAGTCCACTTGTCCACGTGAGTTAACTTCGTTAAAAACCATTGGTTTTATTACAACTCCTTTTTTTGGATGTGCTCTTTTTTTCGCACATGTTTCGCAGTGACTTATGAAGAGTTGAATTATTTGACGTCATATATTAACGTACTTACTTTTTACAGCATTATACATTTTATGTAATCCACCATGACCAGTTTCAATATGTGCGTTTTTTAAAATTTCGAATATTTCACCATTATGTACAAAGTATTTCACTTCATTATTTACAGATGTATTTAGAGGCATTATTAATTTTGTTGCTGTTCCTACCGTCAAAATATCATATCGTTTTAATCGTCTATGGTCCAGCGACGTTTTCTTTTGTTTAGCTTTTGCTTCCATCACTTCGTTTATTAGCTGTGCATAATTATCTACACTTGTAATTGACACTGAATTCTCCTTAAAAATCTGCTCGCTTAATTTTCTTTCAAACTTTTCTTTGAAGACGCACACACTTTGTGATTCCATTGTTTTTTGTTATTAAAGCACGAAAACATGTGACTAACCGAGAATTACAGGAAAACAGCGGCGGCGGCTAGCAACACCTCTTCCGTCACTTGTACAGTGCTTTCCATGAAAATGTTATATTCGTACTTTGAACAAAAACTGCTGTACGAAGTTGAATGAAAGATTAAAACCAACAACTCGGTACAAAGAGAGCTGACTTCTCATTGGCCAGCTGATAGCACAGCTGTTTTCTTTGACATTTCTGCTGTTAGTAGTGAAGTGGGTGTCACTTCTGAGTCTGAGTAATTATATTGTACAGAACGCGAATAGTACAAATCTCGTGCTACCAAGTCCGGTGAATCGAACTTCGTACAAAGTAGCCTGTACACTTTGCGATTGGTACAAATATTACTGTACAGTACGCGAACGGTACAAAAACGGGCTTCGTACGTAACATATACATTACTATTGTGGCCATCAATAGTATGTTGGGCTACAAAACCGGAGGTCGGGTGTCGAACCTGAGTTGAGGTGAATTTTTCATCTGTGGCAGAGATGGCAATTTCCTTAGATCCGTTTCGAGCATTCTGCCGGCTACTCCGAATTAGGTTTTTATTCGCATTGTATGACTTATTAAAATTATGCACGATGCTAAATCGGAAAACTTAATTCTATTACAATTGGAAAATGTCTACAATAATTATACTTGTGATATAGATAAAGTAAAACAAAATATCGTTTTCTGTTGCTGTTATTGCATTTGCTCTGATTAGTAGGGACATTTGAATTATATCATCGTATAGGCAGAATCCTTATAAAAAACAAAATGTTGAATGATAAAGAAAGAGTGGAACAAGGCATTTAAGATTCCTAATCCGAATTTTGTTGGATTTCCAAAAATTGAAACCCAGTCGTCTGAAACAATAATATTATCAGCACAATTTTGCTTCCGAATTCCAATACACAAACCGTAATTGTAACAATCCAGCATCATTTGCAGTATGCTAAATAATCCACCATTCAAATCAAGAAAAACAAGTGCAATGCTCCATCCACTAGTACTTTTCCGTTTGTAGTTCATGTATGCCTAAAATGAAAACGGATTAGACGATTGGATGTTGAGAGGTTATCCGTGGAACCTGTGGAATGTATTTGAGTAACGTAATCGCCAATTTTACATATGAGCAGTAATATAAGAAATCCAACCATTTCAGAAATTTTAACCTTTCCAACGCGACGCATGTGATGTAAAAAGAAACAATGAGCGTTACTAAGCTCTTTGCAGTGGTGGATACTTTCTGATGGCCCCTCTCGAACACACAGCACTGGCCGATCGTCACAAAGATGGCCAGCGTCCCATGCAAAATATAAACAACATCGTTCAGCTTAACAGGAATCTGCCCTCTCGGATAGCGTTCATAGTATTCGTCCTAAAAATGCCTTGCAACGTTAACTTTTCCATCTATACGTACCTGAATTTCAAGATTGAAATATAAATTTAAAATGAAAGCAGCAAATGAAATGTAACCGACGATGTTGAGGGCCAGATAGTCGAAGTTTAAGCCTATCACACTGGAAAATGGAATTTCATATTAAGGAAGAATGCGTTTTGAGTACGAACCATTTCCTCTCGTAATTGGAGTACAGTTGAGGATAGAACGAACTGCCCCACGAAATGATAAAAATCCAGCCGATTATTTGAGATACGATGTCGAGGATCTTTTTTTTGTATACGTTGACGGAAAAGTGTTCTTGCGGGATACTAAAAAGTGAAACATTCATCACATTTTATACATTTAAAACCGATTCACATTATCTGTTACGTCACGGTCAGATGAGAACAGCTTAGAATAGGTATAATTTCAAACTGAACTTTCCCCCTTCACTTAATGTAAATAAAGTCCTTTATTATCACGGTCCGATCAGGGTGCGGCAAATTATTATAGCGCGTAATCTTTAGTTTCGAGTCACATTATGGGCTAGGTTACGGTCAGAACATGTTCATAATAAATACACGCTACAATAATAATTGACAGCACCGTGAGCGGTCCGGACCGTGTTCTGACCGTGACGTGACCGATAATGTGAAACGGCCTTAAACATGTATTGGGACATCACTGCGGCACTGTTGATCGGCTGAACAGGTAAATTCTTTAATATAAATTTGTACTTTTTCAACGAAATTAGAATCTAATTATTGCGAACGGATCGCTTCAAAAGGACAAAAGTACAATTTCAGTACTTACTTAACAGTGTTGTGTTAATGTTCAGAAAGGTTATCGTGCTCGATACTATAATAATTCGCAATTTGTCTCAGTAATAATGTACAAAAATGTTGAAAAAAATATGTATAAGTTATACCTACGTTATGCTACTATCATTTGTTATTGCCAAAATATCGGAATGCCCGGGCGAAATACCTTCAATAGTAAAATGGTAGGTTTTGTTTCCGGCTTCCAAGAGTATTTTGCGAGGGTAAACGTATACTAGATCCTCTTGCAGAACATCAAATGATAGCAAAACTCCAGAATTGTTCAAATTACTAAAAACTGTTGTCACTCCTCTGTTCGAACAGGTCATCCACTTACGTTACCGTTACACTTAGTTTTTTGGTTTCGTTTATTTCCAAATTGATTTGTCGTTCTACAAACGCAATGGACGTTGAAGAATTTTCGGCATCTAAAACACACACGTTAGAAATCTTCTTCGACCAAATAGATCGCTACCTACTTATAAAAGTGGCTGCCAAAAGAAGGAGGAACGTCCGCATAGCGTTTCAGAATAATCGGCTGCAGGGAGTGCAATTGAACATTAATCAACACGCAAACTTTCCACGGAAAACAAGGGGATTAGCTAATATCGATTAAAAGTGACCCACGAACCACAGGTCAAATGAACGAATTATCGCTGGCTTTGTTATGGTTACAACAGAGTTAGAGACACCGTACGATCTCGGACACGATACGCTCTTTCGGATCAAAATGTTGAAAATCCTTGTAATTTTTGCTAGAAGAGTATGATTTACAATTTTCTGGGCGATTCGTATTCTACAGGTGAAAATCTAAAAGAACTGAGGATAAACGTTAAAATCGCTGCGGCACGTGAAAACTGAAACCAAACCAAGCGAAAATGAAAAAATCTACTTTTTTTACGAACCAAACGTCAATCGATAGAACTCGTCGAAACGGTCCGCGACAACGGTTTAAAACATTCCGGGTCATATGTGTATAAATAACGGCTTGGGTTAGGACTTCGAAAAAAACAAAAAAAAATAATTTTTCGAAAACGGCGCGCCCTATCGAAAAACGGATTGGGGATCTGCATGTACATATAATATGGAGTGAAGTAATACCAACTTTTGGTACAAATCCGAAACAAAAAATTATCAGAACGCGATTCGTGTTGTGGGATTTTTTTGAGTAATAGCAAATAGGATTATTCAATAGTGCAGTGGCGCGAAAAACCCCTTTCGAGGTGCACCTTCGGACCCACGGGGGAGATCAAGATTCGAAACAGTTCGGCCGCCAGGGCCCTAAACGTGTTTCGTCACGTATTCCAAAATAACATCGGAATCCGATAACGGATCCCACTCGTTCGGCCGCCGTTCGATAGGTGAATAACGGGGCCACACGGCACAGTTTACGGTTTTTCAATCGGTCTATAAATAACGTCAGAATTACAGTTCAAAGTCGATCAAAAGTCGAAAAAAACACCCAAATTTGTTCAGGATGCGTTAGGTTAACACTAGCGAGTTAATAGATGATCAATTTTAGGGTGGAATACGAAAGCCACATTCGGGGGGCGTCTACGGACCCTTTGGGTCATTCGAGATTCGAAACGGTTAGGCGGCCAGGGCCCGAAACGTCACCGGGCATCCATTCCCGAATAACTTCGGAACCCGATAACGGATCGGGCACAATTCATCACCGTTCGATTGGGGAATCACGGGGCCACACGGCGCAGCTTACGGTTTTACAATCGGTCCATAGATAACAACGGAATTACAGTTCAAAAACGAGCAACTTTTGTCAAAAACTTCGACAATTTTTTTCTCGAAGGCCGTTCGGGCCGGAGAGGAACGGATCGCATATTTATGACGTCCGCGGCAAGAGTAACGATCGATAAAATTTTGAAAAAAATCGAAGACCTAAAATTTTTTCGGGTCTCGTCAAAGAGGGGACCAAGAGAAAACGAAAAAAAAAACCTTTTTATTTGCGAACCGATTTTCGATTACCAAACGTCGATCGATAGATCTCGTCGAAAGAGTCCTCGACGGCACTTAAAACATTCGGGGTCATATATAAATAAGAATTTTACGGCTTGGGTTAGAATTTCGAAAAAAAAAAAAAAAATTAATTTTTCGTAAACGGCGCGTCCTATCGAAAAAAAACGGTTAGGTCAGGTTAGGTTATAGGCCTATCTGCCTGCTCGATTTCGCCGGGAAACTAGCCGAAAAGGTGCTAAAGAGCAGGCTTAGCGCGGAGGTGGACGGGAAACTCTCCGACAGGCAGCACGGATTTAGGAAGGGGCGATCAACAACCGAGGCGGTGCGCCAGATAGCCGAGAGGGTACAGTCAGCCAACGCAGGAACGTGGAGGACGAGGCGAGTGTGCATCGTAGCATCCCTCGACGTTAAAAACGTCTTCAACACAGCTCGGAGGAGCTCTATCCTAGAGGCGATGGCCGAACTCGGAGTCTCCGCTGGCCCAGGAGTTACCTCACCGACAGACAAGTGGAGGTGGATAAGCCGTCGGGGGTAAAGTGGAGGTTCAAAGATAGCGCGGGGGTGCCGCAGGGGTCCGATCTTGGGCCACTGCTCTGGCTTATAATGTACGATGGCGTACTCCGAATTCACCACGAAGAAGGGGTCGAAGTGTTCGGTTTCGCGGACGACCTGACGGTTGTGGCGGTTAGGTTAGGTTAGGTTAGGTTAGGTTAGGTTAGGTTAGGTTAGGTTAGGTTAGGTTAGTTAGGTATAGAGTTAGGTTAGGTTAGGTTAGGTTAGGTTAGGTTAGGTTAGGTTAGGTTAGGTTAGGTTAGGTTAGGTTAGGTTAGGTTAGCCCTGGCGGGTGGATTCCCAACCAGGCGCGTCCCCAGGTGGCGGATAGGGGGAAGGCCATGCAAGTGACCGTACGGGATGCAGGGCCAGCGTCGAATAGGGGCTCGCGGCTTTTAAAACAGCCGCTGGAAGCACTCAAATAAGGCGCCGCGGACCAGTCCACCGGGGGGTGGTTCCTACCGGGAGCGTCTCTCCCACTGGCGAGGGAGAGATACCTACCAAATGACCACCTCGAGATGGTAGGTTAGCGCCAGAATAGGAGGGTGCTCGTGTTCTTGACACAACGTCTGGTAGCACCTCAAATATGGCGCCGCGGACCAAACCTCCCTGCTCGGCTGTCGTGTCGTGGCAAAGAGCATTGCATGGGAACTAACGGCGCCGCTGTCGGTTTTGCTTCGGCAAACTGGCAACGTTATACCACGTGATACTTCGGTATCACGGGGGGACTGGCTAAGGCCGGTCCGAGATGAGTAAACATCCATAAAAATCCCAAATCCCAAGGTGGAGACCAAGCCGAAGGGATGCGTGACTGGATGGAAGACCAGTAGAGATTGGCTCACGTCCAGCTCGGCTGTCGTGTCGTGGCTTAGGGCATTGAACGGACGGTAAAACGGTGCCGCTTGGGCCCACACTCCGGTGTGACCCAGGCGTAAAACCATGTACTTTCTAGGGAGTACGGGGGGTGTAGGCCTAAAAACCAGCACTAAGAAGAGAAAACTTCAATAAAAATCCCAAATCCCAAGGCGGAGACCAAGCCGAGGGGACGCATGACTGGATGGAAGACCAGTAGCGATTGGCTCACGTGGGGTCCTGCGACTTGCAGGACAGGGTCTGGCAACCCTGCGGTGCCCTTTGCTGGTGGTACGCTTTGCTTCAACTTGTCTTAAGCGGCCACCCTATCTTTATACTTTACTATCGGAGCTCCCTTGCCCCAACTCTTGTTTACTTCAGGCCCCGACCTTATCAGCTTGACGAGGACTAGGGGACCTTTTCATATTCCATATTCTTCTTCTTCACGGACGGAAATACGACGACGACTCGGTTATGGATAAGGACGCTGGCCGTAGCGGAAAAAGGCAGAAGGCATGATGTTAAATCCAATCGATATTGTTCCCCGGGTGGGTCCGGTTAGCCGGGAACCCCACCCTGTCCCAGACGTGGACAGGCAGGCCCAAGGATACGGGGAGGCCAGTCATGCGGGAGAAGAGGAGAGGAGAAGGAGCGAGGAGGAGAGGGGAGTAGTGATGGAGGAAACGTTCGCGGAGGATGGCGAGAGTGCACTGCTGGAGAGGATTGCGCAGCAGCAAGTAAACAAGGATGGCAGTTTTGTCAGAAGAGATTCGCTGGCGAGGACCCCGCCAATGAAGGGGAGGGAAGGAGAGGGTCCTCAAGAGGGGACCTCGCAAAAGAGAAAGGCGGAGGGCAGCCCATTGAAGGAAGAGGAACAAACTCAAGAGACCGACAAGGCTATAGAGGAACTGAGAAGACTGATTGAAAGGGCGGTAGATTTTACTAATTCAAAGGAGGGTAAGAATGTCAACAAAGCAATTAAGGATATGATCAAAGGGATGGACAGAAATACAAGGAAAGTCATCAAGTTGAGGAAAGAGGAAAGTAGCAGGAAGGGGAATAAGAATGCGAGAACGCTGGAGGGAAATGGTGACGAAGGGAAGAAGCAAGACAAGAAGAGGAGTACAACAACAGAGGTGCAAGGGTACATGGACTCCCTACAAGGGAGATACGAGCAACTAGAAGCAAGAATAAAGGTACTTGAGCAAACAACGAAAAGTCAGACTGAAACAATCGAGCAGGAAAGGAGAAGGTATAGGGAGTTGAGGGAGAAGTACGAGAAGGAAAGGGAGGGGAAGAGGGATAGCGCAGACCCCTCGAGGGAAGAGGAGGCAGTACTGATCAGGAACTTAAAGGGAAGTCTAGACCGGACACAAAAGAGGTGTGACGACTGGGAGGAGAAGTGTAAGGCGCTGGAGGAGAGGATCAAACAAAGAGAAGAAGAAGGGGGAAACAACGGGTGTGGCAACGACAAGTGCGGTGAGTGGGAGACAAAGTGCCGGATGTTAGAGGAGAGAGTGAGGAGGTTAGAAAGGGAACGAGACGTGGACGAGTTGCTGGAGGAGAACGATAGGACGAAAGAGGGTTTTATGCGGGCGATTAAGATGAGGTGGAGTGAGGACACGCTCAAGGGGGTGAAGGTGTCGGATGCGCATCCCAGGTCGTGGGGAAGAGAGTGGGACACGGCGGCGGTGGTCGGGGATGATGCGAGGATGGAGGGGCACACCGCGAGGGAGCTGAGGGGGATCTACAGAGAGCTTGACGGCATGAGGGAGGAGGAGGGCCCGAGCGAAGGGGGAGAGTTTATATATGTGACGAAAAGCCTCAAATTCCCCAAGAGGGGCACCGTGAGTAGGGAAGTGGTGGGGAAAATCGTTTTTAGGGGGAAGGAGGAGGAAGGGATGAGAGCATTATACGATGGTATGGAGGAGGTAGGGAGAGTGCTGGAAGGGATGGGGAGGAAGAGGATCCAACTAATCCTTGCGGATAGGCGAGACCTCGAGGTGGTGAGAAAGGCGGCGAGATACGTATTGATGGGGCGAATGGAGGTGGTGGTGACGGTGCCGGTGGTAGGGGAAGAGACCGCTAGGGTGCCGAGACCGGAGGCCATTTTGGTTAGAGTAGGTAAAGACGCTAGCTACTCCGAGTGTCTTCGCAGCGTCAGAGAGCTAGACGCCCCAAACGTGAGACGGGTGAGGGAAACCAGGGGGGGGGATC